CCTTGGCATTCCATCTATCGTAGTTAACACTTGTGCTTCCCTTGACTTATCAATAGCCATTTTAAAATCAGTCTATCTTGAGCCGTCAAAGTGAGCGGTTGCCTAAGGGTGTACGCGACTAATTGTCTTGAATTTCCTCAATAAGTTGTCACGAATGAAAACAGTTCTTCTTTTTTTAAACCTATTTAAGAAAATTCGTATAACAGCAGGTTTTGAAAAACAGTTTTTTCAACTAACCAGTGACAAGGACCTTCGCAAAATAACATCTAGTTCAGTAAAATATTAATGATTCCTTTCCTTAACCATGATTTTTTTTTCGTACTGTTTATGCTGTTGGTTGCAAATGGCCTTTACAGCTTCACCGAGCACGTGCGCAGGGGCGAGTGCGGAAGGCACTCCAAGTCCGAACCATGAGGTTCATTTTTCTTTAATTCGTCACGATATCCCTGCCCCGAATTCATGCTCTACTGGTACCCTGCCATTATATAATATAGTTAAAAAAATTACGTTGAACTACTGCTTTCACGTTTTATATACAATAATTCTCTCCCACCCCCTACTACCCCACAACCTCCCTAACAAATACCGCGAAGAGTTGGAACTTGCAGGCATCTGTCTACGTAATCACGATTTATGCTTATCCATCTAGATGCCAGTTTTGAATTTTGTAAGAATTTAACTTATTTTTATACACATTTTCAACCGACTTCAAAAAGGAGGTTCTCAATTCGGTTGTATTTTGTTTCTATATTTGTTTGCCTCATAACTCCGTCAGTTATGAACGTTAGGTATAGGAATTGCACTCCTGGCTCACATTTCGAACTGGGCAGTGATTTTAATTATAATTAGGAATAAGAATTTTATACTGTAACTTATAGAATTAAATTAGTTTTAACAAAATTTCGTTTTTTTGAATCCTCCGGTTGTCGTCCTCATAATTCGAGTTAGACGATTATTTTTTTAATTAACAAGATATATTCTCAGCTTGGCCCTAATTTTTACAAAATTGGTTCAATAGTTTAGTTTTTAAATTAAAATAACTGGTTTTTCGACGTTATTTTTGGAATACAATCTAAAATTATTATAAGTATCTAAAGATAGTCGTAAAGATAGTAAGGAAATGTCATATAATTCTTGCCCTCGATTTTTATTGGATCTTGATTTGATATATTGATCGATTGGAATAAAATAATATTATTTTCCAAAATTCTATCTACCCGTGCGAAGCCGGGCCGCATCGCTAGTTATTATTATAATAAACTAATTTCAACTTCGCCCTATGTTATATATTTACACGCAGAAAATTTAGTCGATTTGCGTGCCTTTTCATCTATGTCAGTTTCAAAATGAAAAGAGACCATTTCCATACCCTTTGTACAGAAATTGGTTGACTGTGAAAGCATATCAAAATGTCACAGTTTCCTGGCTCCGGACACGCTGTCTCGTCGCCCACAATTTCAATATGTCTAGCGCACCTTGTATCAATTCCAGAATACGTTACAATCAATAACTGACTTTCTATTTTTAACAGTAATGTAATATTTCTATTTTATATAAGGGTTGTTGTTTAATGCCGTGAGGTCCCGGCATAGAATGGGCCCTTCTTTCCCCGTGAATTTTGTAAAAGGCTGATGAGTGACTAAGGGAACTTAACAGTCGATGGATGGGTAGTAGTGTTTCTTTTAAAATAACACCAAAGCCTATTGGTAAATCCCCCAAATAGGGGGAGGCCTATTTGGAGGCTGATACAATAATCATGATTGTTATTTAAAAAGTGAAAATCTAATGGTAGGCCCACCCATGAGATCGGTATATACTAGCCGGAGTACCAGTAAAGGATGTTAGGCAAGGATGATAGTAGATTTGATGGCCCATCGTGATGAGACAAGATTTAACCAATATGATTTTCAAGAAGATCCGTGATGTCGACCTAATACAGTATATTGCTAGCATTGGAACTGTTAAATGCCCATTACTAAAAATCCCTTTCCTCTTAAATAAGACATTGTTAGTAACGAAAACTAGAGCGGCTTTGCTAACTAATTATCCTAATTATCAGGTCGACCTATACGTAGTTCCCTATAAAACCGTCGTGGTTAATACTTGATGAGTTCTTTAAGAAGGAACTGACCTCCTGTTATTGCCGCTTATCATCCTTCACTGATGCCCCGCCAACATATCCCGATACCAGGAGCGGAGATACTATTCCATTTTCATCCCAATAAAAACCCATACGGCAGGAGTGGCCAACCGATAGATCGCGATCGACCGGTCGATCACGACTATTAGTCCAGTCGCTTATGGCAAGACAAAAAGTATAATATTTTGCTAAACTAGCGGAAGATGCTCAGACGCTGTAAGCATTACTAACTTAAATAAGTAGTTACTAAGAATAATCTTCAGTTTTATATTTTTCGTCTTAGTAAAATAAAAGAAATTACAATACTACATAATTGTGTACTAAACTATGTTGTTTCATTTCAGACTTCAAGAAGTATGTAATTGGTAGATCGCACAGGGTTTCGTCAGTAAACAGTAGATCTTGGGTCCAGTCAAGTCGGCCATCCCTGCTATTTTTTTTTTATACAACATAGAATGGCAAACAAGCTGACGGCCCACCTGATGTAAAGTGGTAACCGTCGCCTATAGACATGAGCAGTACCATGGACATAACAGAGTATATTGTTTCGCCCATGATACCCCCCATGCATTGCCATCCCTGAGGACTCAGGTGTTATTCCTCTGTACCCAGTAAATTCACGCCATATCCCACCCTTCAAACCGAAACACAGCCATGCAAAAACAACTGCTTCACGGTTGAAACACGAATGGGACAGAGGTATCCAAGCAATCGACTTTTGTACAAAGTCTCCCTCTGGTATATAGTATTGTAACTATCTCTTATACTACATGTGCCTGAGAGGTATGGAACGTACGTTAACTTGCCAATTACCTCAGTAACCACAATACTCAGGGAGCGGGCAAATGTAATTAGTACATATAATTGTGTTACACCGTTGCGGCAACGAAATGCAATTAATAATGCATTAGGGCTGCTTGCGTTTACTCAAAGTATACGTCTAACTTATACTCCGCACAATATAACATGGTGCAGATCAGGGCTGTCCAAAGTAGATACGAGACGATTTCTTTTTACCCTTGACCAAGTCAAATATGTAGTAGAAGTGCGTATTATGTGGCCATACGAGTATACAATCACCTACCCAAATATATCGAAAGCTTGAAAATAAACAATTTGACAAATTTAAAGAGTGGCGTGTTGAGAAATGTTTTAATAATTTGAAAAAATATTTTAATAATAAATAATAAAAAAAGGTCATTAAAATTGTTTATTGTAATGTATTTTAATTATTTGTAATGACTATATAATGTAATTTTTTTATAGTTTTAATATTGTACGCCCGTGGTGGGTATACTGTGTTGTACACCATATTACCTACCTATCAACCTGTAATTACCACAGTATGCACAATAAAGAATTCACAGTATTCTTCAGATCTAGGGCCTTAAAAAAATTACTTAATTAATTAGCGGGCCGTAAAATATTTGTAAAAACAAAATGCAGTTATAATATCATTATTTTGTTATTGTATTACTTTTTCATTAATTTATCTTTTACAATTCTGTCAACATCAACATCAATATTGGTAGTAGTTAGAAAAGTTTTGGCGGGCCGCATGTGGCCCGCGGGCCATGGTTTGGACAGCTCTGGTACAGATAACAGACATTAAAAAATATTATTATTAGATTGTTTTCAATATTCAAACATAATCTTTCATGGTAAAAATTAAAAAACACGATTGCCCTGACAAAAACGTAATGGTTTTTAGGTTTCAAACTATACCACATACATCAAAATCTGTTCAAACATTTAGAATAAAGACATTGTTAGTAATTCAAACTACCAGTCCTATTGCTAACAATATACCCTATCAGGTCGATAGGGTATATTGTTAGCAATAGGATTTGTGGTGGTTCAATCTGGAAACCATTGCGCTGAATTCCAGGTGTATTCACACGATTGGCTAACTGACCTACCTTTTCATCCTCACCTATCATCCCTCACTGGTGCCCCGCTAGCGTATACCATTAGCGCAGGCGGAGTTACCATTCCATTATCACCCATAAAAAAAACAAAGACACTATTATACATATATGAAAACTGAAAACAACTCCTTTTTTGAGCGGTCGTGTAAAAACTGTCAACAAAATGTCATCTGTCATCCGCACCATGTTGCAACGAACAGTGTATACAAGGTGAAATCTGACATCCTTTTGACCACTTGCCTTTGTAACAATAACCATTTCCCTAATAGCCCACTATAATAAAAAAAAAATATATTGTATTTTTTTAAACAACTACTTTTAAAACTTTTTTAAGTTTTTGTTCTATATATTTTTTTTTTTATACGACAGAATGGCAAACAAGCTGACGGCCCACCTGATAGAATGTGGTAACCGTCGCCTATAGACATGAGCAGTACCATGAACATAACAGTACACACACATACTGTCTCGTCCGGGTACCATGCGTTGCCATTCTTGAGGACTCAGGTGTCATTCCGCTGTACCCTGCAAATTCACGCCATATCCCACCCTTCAAACCGAAACACAGCCACACAATAGGCAGTTAAATAAAGGAAAAAATAACAAATAAATTATATATTGAATAATGTAACTAGGGCCTTTAAAAGGATAAAAGTAAGATTGTTAATTGTTTTAATAAAAACTCAAATCTCTCTTTATCTTATTTTAGGTTCAAAGTGTCTTTTTCTTTTATGCTAAATTCTTAATTTTGAAGTGACAAAACATTTCAATAGCTAATATAGATTTGTGCTAGGTTTTATTTTTTTATGAATGAGAGGTTAGTATTCGAATGCATAGATGCATAAGGAGAACAGTAAGTAATTAATTACTTTAATTTTCCTCACATTCAAATATATGAAAATATGGGCAAATTCGATAAATAAAAGACAATATAAAACTATTGCATACTTTATTTTAAGACTTATTCACAGCTCATTGACATACCGTAGGAATTTTTCTATACAAATGTACAAATATTCAGTTCATATTTGATGGTTGTGTTTCAAATATGTTATGTAAGTCTTAATAAAATACAACTGATCAGAAACGCTTCTATTTCAACGAATTTCAATCAAATATCAATAATCGAGAGTTTACCTGTATTTCCAAAACTATATTGGTAATTGAAGAATTACTTATGACATTTATATACAAAAAATACCAACTGTGATAAATTATTATTTCACACTGGTAAACTCTTCGTTTAAAACTTTCTATATTTTGACGTTCAATTTTAATTTTCCTATGGTTTGTTTTATCCCTTGTACATACATACAAAAACCGTATTTGGTATTGATTTGTTAGGGTCGTGAGCATATTTCTAAATTTATTGCTTACTTACATACTTTTTTATGTATATTTAATAAACAGTTGTGGTATGTCATTTCGTAATTAACTATATTAAATGTATAAAAATAATAAGTACTAATACTATAATGTTCCCAGTTCTAATTGTACGCACACTGCTCGCTGGTAATTAATGCTCCTTTCCACTCAAGGCATGCTGGCAGAGAACACTTACAGAGTTATGTTCGCCTGTCTTTATTTAATATAAATTATAACAATGTAATTTATGTGTACAATAAAGGTTTATACTTTATTGTACACTATTATATTTATATTCATATTTTAAATAAAACTATTTAAAATAAGATACACAATAATTTATAACAATACACAGTCAATTAACACAATTTTTTTTTCTATTTGATCATTTTATGTACTGTTATATTGAATATAAATATCTGCCAAAATTGTTTATTAAATATGCAAAGTATAGAAGAATAGATTAATATATAAAACTTTGTTACAATATCACTTTGTTATATATATGTAACGGTAAATTAATTGATGAGGTGATCTCACAAAAATAATTATTTACGTCTAATAAACGTCGGTTGAAATCCACATAATTTAATACACATTAAATTAAAACAACTTACTTGACGTACTGTTTATTTTTACTCATTTGATAAACAATCTATCTCTATTATATATATTTTTTACTGAAACAAATGAACTAATTTAAAATAAATAAAATATTGGCGACCGGCCAATGCAAACGCCTTATATTTTATTACATACTTTTTTAAACAGATTTACTTTTAAAATGATATTGTTAATTTATAATTTCGATCTTATATCTTTTAACAACGTTTTTCTTGTTGGGGTCGCTTTTCATTATATTTTCTCTGCTAAAATCCGTGTGTACATCATTTATCACCTCATCACAGTCCACTGCCCTCTAATATAATAATAATAATAATGTGTTACACAATTTGTTTTATTCTTATTGATTAATTTATTTAAAAAATATATTTCTGTTTAGACTGTTTACGAAATAGACACGTAAAATAAAAGCATAGCAAAGATCACCTTATACAAATTAAAATTGTGTAACAACTATAAAAAAGACAGCAATCGTGATAAAATTACTACGGTACTCAACTTAACAAGTAGACAGCATTGACTTAAAAAAGAATCATAGTAATCATTACTGGCTATGATATTGTATAATGTACAGAAAAAGAAATTATCGCATTGATAATCTCCGTTTCAAATTGAATAAAAGTGAGGCAAATATTGGCCAAGTATTGACTAACTATTGACCGAACAATTCGAATATTGGCCCAAATTAGCCAAGTATTGATTGGCCAAACATTGACCCAATATTGGCCGAATATTAGCCACCAATTGCTTTGCTCTTATGTCTAGAACTAGCAAAATATGCGTTATATTCACACGCCCGGAATGAGCCCTGGTTTCCTGCCGGGCCAGGCTTCTTTCGCGTATTTCTTCTTCTTCGGCTCGCTCGAAGGTCCGGCTTCTTCTGGAGCTGAAGAAAATATTTATTAATATTACAAACTAGCGCTGTTCCTTATGACAGTTAACCATTGGGAGGACTTTTGCCACGCTTGGCAGGCGGGTTGGCAAACGCAGTTGGCTTTTGGTGATATTTTAAGAGAGACGCTGCTGCCCATCCCTCGACCATTAACTTTCTTAGTCTGTTACTTAGTCGCCTCTTACGACACCCAAGGGAAAGGAAGGAATGGCCCGTTTTATGCCAAGCCACACGGCAACCTTATGAGAGTCTACGGGGGAAGCCTATATTCAAAAGTGGACAAATAATGACTGGTATGATGATGATGATTATAAAATAGCTGTATCCCGCGGCTTTACCCGCATGAATCAATACATATAGCATCCTATGTGCTAAGTTAGAATATGGTTAAAAAAAAGGCTCTTTAAACGGGCCAATTAAAATGCACTTAATAAGATCATTATGTCAGCCATTAACTGTCCACGGCTAAACATAGGCCTCCCCCATAAGAAGACTTTTGTCAGTAGTTGCCACGCTTAGCAGGCGGGTAGGCAACCGCAGTTAACGTTTTTGATGTTTTAAGAGGGACGCTGCTACCTATCCTTCAACCACTAAGTTCCCTTAGTAACTTACAACAGCGGGAAAGAAAGGGCCTTGGTTATAGGAATGACCCATTTTATGCGGGAACATGGCACTTCATACATCGCATTAAAACTCTAACACCTGTCATGTTCATACTTATTTTAATAATATTTTGTATATTTATTTTTTTATTCATCTTACCAGAGTTTGGTAAAGGTGGGTGTATATTAAGATGTGGCTCTGGACCTTCTAGTTCAACATCCGGCGCTGGATTCGGCAGCGAGAGACCCAACCTGATTTATACAATAGACATAATATTATAATTATCTTAAGGTGTAAAAGGAAAGCAAATCATTTGTAATTTTTTTTTAATTTTTCCTTATGAACGTGCATTTAAATCATGTATGGATTTTAATGTGCATAAGTACATCAAGTCAAATTTATAATTAAAGATTGTGTCAAAAAAAATTTACTTAAAATGTGGACAAATCAACTATTTTGATTTAAAAACTAAACTACTGAAGCGATTTTGATAAAATTTCTATAGGACTAATCTATAAGGTTATCCCTTTAGATAAAAAAATATTTTTTAAAATCGGTTTAGTACTGACAGAGTTATGAGGTAATAAACATAGAAAAATACTACCGAATTGAGAATCTCCTACTTTTTGAAGTCGATTGACAACAATGGCTGCTGAATTTAAATAATTTCATGTTCGCCAGAATTCTCAACCATAACATGATGCCTATAAAGAACAAATTACCTTGCACCGATAAGACTGAGATGGGAACTGGGCGCTGGAAGATCTGAATATAAATTATTCCCTCTAGATATCTCCTGCAATCGAAGTGAGTGATGGTGTTGACCTGGAAAAAAATATAGGTTCTTAACTTTTCTTGTATTTTATTTCTTTTTTTTACTTCAGAAAAGTTTACTGCTATATTTGACCGTAGTATAGTATAATAGGGTTTAAATTTATGTGTACAGGTTTTAGCGGTCTTTATTTTATTGGATAATGGAAATGGTAACTCCGTCTGCGCTAACGGTATACGCTAGCGGAGTACCAGTGAGGGATGACAGGTGATAATGAAAAGGCAGGTCAATAAGCCCATCGTGATGAATACATCTGGAATTCAACACAATGGTTTCCAGTGGGGAATGAGGGGAGGTTAACTTGATAGGTTATATCGCTATGTTTTAGTAGTGGGGTTTTATTTATTTAATTTATGCTTTATTGCACCATTTACAAAATAGTAAATACAGTTAATGAGAAGAGATACAAAAGACGGTCTTATCGCTAAGCAATCTCTTTCAGACAACCTTTGGGGTTGGTAGTCCCCATTACTTATAATCACTTCCCCCTAGCAGTCTATTTACAGTATTAAGATATATATGGTCTAACCATAATATAGTTAAACTTATGATAGATTATTATTATTAAATACGTGTTTAGTCTTGACTAAGGTAACCGCTTGATTACTACAGTTATAAAAAAAAATATGTAATGTCTAGGGCAGATACTAGTTATAAGTTAAAAACATGACTTACTGTCGTCAGCACTTTGCAGCTTCAGCTTCCTTGGTGGTGTGTTAGCATTTGGTACAATCGTAGACTTGACCAGGTTCCTGAACCTGCCTATGGTAGGGTCAATGTCCTCAGGATTGATGATGTCCACCTCCTCGTTGAAGGAGACATTTCTCTTCACCTTCTTTGTTATCCCGGCCGGCATTGACGCTGACCGCTTGGTGCCTGCTGGCGGCTACAATTTAATAATAATTCTTACAAAAATTATAAATGTAAAAATGTTTTTTTTTTGTACAGCAGTCACGGTTGTTGTTGTTACAATTTGTTGAGCAGTTACGATACTAAGAGATAACAAACCTCTTAGTATCGTGACTGCTTAACCAACCACAATGAACTTTGGTATACAAGTACTTTATGGAACGAAGAAGGACATAGGCTACTTTTTGTTCTAATCAGTGAATATATCGTCACGCGGACTAAGACTCAATAAAAGACTCAAAAAAATATGTAATTTTTATTCATCTCAGTAAGTATCATTTTCCAATGTTAACAATTGTTAAAAAAAAAACTAACTACGGCTCAGAGGTGGTTAGCAGAATAACAAAGAGGGTGAGGTAACACTCCCTTTGCTATTCTGCCATAACCTTTTATCATTAATATTTTGCCCATAAATCGCTACCATTACCACTTTTAAACATAATGGTTATAATAATTTTTCAGTCTCGTGACGAAATGTGATTACTGTGTTACTCCATTTTTAAGCTTCCGTCGCGTGTGCAGCCTTAATGGTCACTTTAAAATGTAAAAATGTCCACCCGTGCGAAGCCGGGACGGGCTCACCCAAAGTAGCAGACATGTCTTCATGTATAGCTTTTGGAGTTAAACCTTTCAAATTCAGGTATTTTATCACTGTACGATGTTCAATTTTGTCCATTTTCAAAAATAGCTCTGACTTGACTTACGGTATGTCACGTGTAAACAAACAATGAGTTACCGTGAACAAACTAAACTGTGCATACTTGTTGCTAAATAATGTAACTACAAAATGAGGGTAGTTATAAAAAAAACCAATGACTTTCACCATGTTAGGCTAAGAACTTTTAAAATGACCCTCGTATTTTTAAAGTGTATAGCGGTACGTAAATACAATAAAATGGATTAATAAAGGTAGTTAAAAAGATGGAATAAGAGGAGAGCGAGGACAAAAACGATACAAGTTTATACTGAGTAAATGCGACAGTCAATCATATTAATCTCGAGAAAAATAATAGACATTTGGGTAAAAATTTATAATCGCATTTGGCAACCCTAGCTGTCAGCTTATTTAGTATACTAAGTTCCAAAAACATTTTAAAATAATTACCTTCAGTACATCTGTGCCATCATCAGTTGATATACCCAACATGGATATCCTCCTATTATGTGCAGTGTTAAATTCCGTTAAATTCTGAAAAGAAAAGCAGACCACATTGATATCTATAAAAAATATGCTCATAACTTGCTTCTGTACTTACTAATATTATAAAAGTGAAAGTGAGTTACCAACTCACCTGTCAAGCGTGGCAACTACTACTAACCCCCCCTTATGGGGAAAACCTATGTCCTGTAGTAAACGTAATGGCTGATATCATGACAATGAATTTGATAGTTTGTTACAACTTAGCACCTTTAAAGAGTTAACCAATAACTACAAAATTTGGTATATAGGTATTACATGGAATAAAGGACCGAAACTACTTTTCATTCCGGTCATTGAGCATATCCCGGTCACGCGGACGAATAGCGGATAAAAACTAGTATAATAATAATACAAAACATCAGAAATAAACAATGTACATGTAATATACACTCATAGCAAAGCCATATATACATATTTTTTTATACAATTTAGAATGGCAAACAAGCTGACGGCTCACCTGATGGAAAGTGGTAACCGTCGCCTATAGACATGAGCAGTACCATGGACATAACAGAGTATTCTGTTTCGCCCATGATACCCCCCATGCGTTGCCATTCCTGAGGACTCAGATTTTTTTTTAATCCTCTGTACCCAGTAAATTCACGCCATATCCCACCTTTCAAACCGAAACACAGCCATGCAAACACAACTGCTTCACAGTTGAAACATGAATGGGACAGAGGTACCCAAGTAATCGACTTTTGTACAAATGATTGATAAACAAAAAATCAGAGCAGTGTCAGTGATATGGTGCTGTTTCAACCCTACATACTTTGAATTATTTTCTATTTCTTATTTTCAATTATTAAGGCTATTTTTTCTATCAGAGATAGATAACAAATGTAAGAAATGTGTATAGGATATGTAGGTTTACATTTGGTGACAAACAAACATATGGCACATCTAATAGTAAACGGAGTTACCGTAGTTACCGTAGTAGTGTTACAGGCGCCGATGCCTATCGGCGCCTGTAACACTCGGGATGTCACGCGCGCGTTGCCGATCCTTATGAAACCTTAAAACGCCCTTCTTTATGCAAACTCCCAAATATATATACTTATAATAAATCTGTAGAGAGGTCAATTCTGTACACGAAATATATTTCCAAAATAACTATCAGGGGGTGATTAGTGATCGATACTGATGCCAAAAATGCAATCAGTAAAATTTTTGTCTGTCTGTATGTTCGTTATAGAAACAAAAACTACTCGACGGATTTTAACGAACTTGGTTAAATTATTCTTCATACTCCTAGGCAGGTTATAGTATACTTTTCATCACGCTACGATCAATAGGAGCAGAGCAGTGAAGGGAAATGTTAAAAATGTCCACCCGTGCGACGCCAGGACGGGCCGCTAGTATATTGCTTGGTATATATTGGCTTTAATATCTGCATATAAAGTTTAACATATCACTTTATCGGGGATACCTTTCCCCACTGATTATGTTACAAAACAAATGTAAGATATATATGATATAAATGAACTTACATCTAGCTCAGTTTGTGTCTCCGGCAATCCAAGCAGAGCACCTTCCTGTTCTGTATTAGGTAAATCTTCCATGATGCCACGAGCATTGCCAGTTGGTCTCTCCCTAAAAAAAATGTATTGCCATTTAACTTACTTTTTAACCGACTTCAAATAGAAGGCCATTCTCAGTTTGGTTGTATTTCTTTTTTATGTTTGTTATGACATAACTCCGTCAATTCTAAACCGATTTGGAAAATTCTTTTTTTTTAATGAAAGGATATACTTACAGATTGATTTACAGAAACTTTATCAAAATCAATTCAGCCATTTAGGTTTTAAATCAAAATTACAATTGTACTCATTTTTTTCTGTAGGACACAATCTTTAATAAGTGTTACTGGTGTATGGTAACCTAATAATATTTAGTAACAAATTATCAATAGAAGGATTTTTATACAACTTAGAATGGCAAACAAGCTGACGGCCCACCTGATGGAAAGTGGTAACCGTCGCCTATAGACATGAGCAGAACCATGGACATAACAGAGTATACTGTTTCGCTCATGATACCCCCAATGCGTTGCCATTCCTGAGGATTCAGGTGTTATTCCTCTGTACCCTGTAAATTCACGCCATATCACCCTTCAAACCGAAACACAGCCATGCAAACAAAACTGCTTCACAGTAGAAACACGAATGGGATAGATGTACCCAAGCAATCGACTTTTGTACAAAGTCTCTGTCTGGTGAAAGGATGGTTATCCATCCTTATATATTTTTGTTGATGTATACATGAGAAAGAATAAGATGCCAGATATTATTGTCTTATTCTATCACATGTACAATATCACTAATGATAAATTCAGTTGAAAATAACAATTATAATGAATAATATTCTTTTTTCTTTGGTATTAAGTATTAGGAACAGTAAGTACTGCTACTGTATGCATTCATGAAATCAATTTTATGTGTAAAACTTTTTTTTTTAAATCTTGACATATAACAAAATTGAAATTTTAAATATCTTATAATTATAATAAATTACACAATAAACAATACTATAATATTATTATATAATATTACCTTATAATATAATTTCTTGTAGATGCTCCAAAATGAAAGTTTGAATCAATGGGCAATTGTGTTGGTTTGTTTGCTTCTAGCCTCATCTTACCAATATATGTACCATGGGCTAAAAAGATAAATTTTGTTATTGCTAATTTTAACACAATTTATACATGTTAACAACATACTTGATAAGGGAGAAAGGGATTATTAGTAATGCGGACTACCAGACCCATTGTTAGCAATATAGAGTCAACTTCCATGTGGTCCCCTCAGAAAACCATCATGTTGGATTCCAGGTGTATTCCTCATGATGGACTAACTGACCTGCCCATTCATCTCAACTATCATCCCTCACTGGTGCTACGCGAGTGTATACTTTTAGCACAGGCAGGGTTACCATTCCATTTTATTTCAAAAAAGAAACATACTTGATATAGTATAACTAACACAATGTATTAGTATCTTTTACACAACATAATCCTAACTAATATTATAGCCTTACTTCCTAATATCATTTATTTATATGTTATTTTACACAATTATAAACATATAATTTATATTAAATAAAGATGTACAACAGGTGAGGTTAACTCTGTAAGAGTTCTCTTCCAGCAAACCCTGAGTGATATCATTACTAATATTATAAATGTGGAAATGAGTTTATTTATTTTTTACCTCTTAACAGCTTAACCAATCACTATAAAATTTTGAAAATAAAATACTATACATGTTAGAGAAAGACATAGCCTACTTTTTATCCCAGTTAATGTAAATCTCAGTCAGGCAAACAAAGTAACAGTTAAAAGCTAGTTTTTCTATAATTTAAAACTTATTTAAAAGCTTATGTACTTCTCCATATATTTTTTAATGGATTAAAATGAAATATGAGCCCACCAGCTTTACTGGTATAAATTGCAGGTACACCAGTGAGGGATAATAGGTGAGGATGAAACAGCTCTGCTGGCCTATAGTGACAAATTCAATAATTATTAACCACAAGCATAATAGGAAATATTGTTAATAATAAGGCAGTTAAAATGCCATTATTAACAATCCCTTCTCCTCTCTTCCTCTCCATATTGGTCAACAAAAGCGCAGCAAGTGTGTTATAATTTTACTGTTATAATGTCTAATGATTTCTTTTAAATCCTGCCATATTATAGTTTATTTTATTATAAAAATACATATTATATTATAGTAATTGCTTCCCACCTAGTGGCTTGTATGCTAATTTTACAGATTACTTATATAAAACACTAGCAACCTACCTAGCTTTGCATAGTGTATTATTTCGATTTATTTATTTCTAAAAGGTTAGCTAGTGTAAGCTTTGAAAATCACTTCTTGGTAAGTTTATTATGGAATATTGAATTTATCTACTTACACAAAAGTTTAGTTAAAATATATTGTACATACAAATCTTCCATTAAAGGGCATACAGTAAAACCAATATATGTTGTTCAATCTATTGAATTATTTACAAATAATAAGAGAAATAAACATGCAGTCAGTAACTTTATTTTATACTATTTATAAATGATTCAAACAGCAAAAATAAATAATTTGGTAAATAATACTTACTGCTGCCCAAATCTACTAAAAATGCTCTATTCAAATGTTTGTGATAAACAAATGCAGCATGCACCCTTGAACAACTGGCATGATCTATACAAAAATCATTCATTTGAGGATTCCTTCCAAATAGGTAACATTTTTTCTCGTCAATCATTAATTTTTGTATCAATTTATCGCCCTTTAGCACATCCAAATGCAGCCCAGTTGGTGGCTTGCCAGCCCTGTAACAAAAATTTTATGAAAATATCAAAATAAGCAAGAGCCGCAACTAGCGGCATTCACATATCAATAACTTTACAAAGATATGAAAACATAGGTTATTATCACTTCAAATTCATTGTAAACATCTAGTTGGTTCTTTAAACTACATTAATGCCTACTGAAAACAGTATAATATTCAAATTAAATATAAATACAAGCTAAATTGAATGATGGCACGGTTCCATTTAGGTTGGTCCATTTATAAACAACACAATTTACCAGCTAGGAACCTCGTAGTGATTCGCCATTGTAACAAATAACGTACACAAGATATTGTTACACTATTAGTACGTTCAACATTAATGAAATCATAGTATTTTCATTAAATAAATAAATATAATGATCAGTAAAAGTAAACCGCATAACATAACCACACCATGGACACAATTGACATTTTTAATATGACATTTGATTGTCTAACATCTAAACGTACTCTATGCACAATGATCAAATGCTTCTATATACGGTTTAAGACGATATTTTTTTATTTAAGACGATATTTTTTTATATATTTGTGTTGTTCTAATACTATATTGTAGATACGATTTTTTTCGTGGTATTTACGCTTTTAATCCAATTTCTTTCTTAGTCTTTAGCAGTTGTTACAAAATCTTTGCATTGGTCATGTTGGCGCCTCTATGAATTCCCTCTAATCTATGCCGTAATTTAACTTAAAATTTATGTTGAACCTTTACATTTATACTCTTCGAATTCCGGTAATTAATTCAATAATTACAATTTACATTATCATCAGTTGATAAGAAACATTCCGTGAATATTTTGTATATTTGTTTTAATTTTTACGTTGTACAAATATAATGGTGTTCTCTAATGACGTGCTTGTAATCACAACAAATAAATAAACCGGCCTAACCTAAAATAAATACAGAACTACACGTAAATATAAACAATGGTGTCCAGTGAAGAAGAGTCTGAGATAAAAACTGGCGACGCTCTTGAATGGGATGTTGAAATGGAAATACAACTATTTTACGCGATGGCGAATCATAAACCGGTCGGCATAAACAAACATTTTCACATGGCGTGTATTTGGGAAAAACTTTCTAATTCAATTACAAAAGAGGTATCCACACAAGATATTTGGAAACATTTAGAGACACTATACGACATTTCTTTGTTGGATGACACTGAGAGAATACCATTTCCCAACCATGAAGTGCCGTTTAGTTTGCCCGAAAATGAATTTGGGAGTTTAATTAAACAAAAATGCAAAGAATCTATGTTGACTGACGATAGTGAAGGTATAGTGGCTTTTCATTTTGTATTCTTATTAATCCTATATTCATCCAGTGAAATTACAGGCTACACACAAATAACAATTTACTTGCAAGGAATGGCATCTTGTGAAAATTACCTATGTGTCACATGCCAATGATGATATTTATTTCAATAGACAAGTGTAAATGAAAGGCCCAAAAATAATATCTGTGCCTCTAGTGAGAAAGGGTATAACTCAAGTTATAGCCTTTTTCTTTTTTAGGCTACTTTAAATAAGCAAATTTTTCTCTTTCGAATGGTATAAGAACCGTAACGATATCTTTAAAAACAATAGAGATAGTAAACATGTAAAAGGCTACAATTAACAAAATATTTGTGGTAAAAAAGTCATAATTAGAAATAAAACTACAATATTTTACAAAAATTATTTTTGTAAAATGAATCAGTTCGATTTGAACCCTTTTACACCATTTAATAGCGATTATTTTTTTATAGCGTAAAATACACATCATTGTTTTTCTTCAATACTTCAATAAAATAGTTTTAATTCAACTTAAAACTATTTTCACATCATAATTTTAATATTTTTGTTAAGTGTGATTAGGTATAATAGAATTATTTTTAAAACTATAGGTTTTACACAAAAACCGACAATTTCATAAGAAAGAGGAGAAAAAATTACTATAAATGCAATCATTGACTTGTTCAATTAGCAAATAATAAAAGCAGCAGAATTTTTTTTCTTTATTTAAAATAGTTTTTTGGCTCTCCTGAAAAGTGACCATTTTGAATTGAACCCTTTCTCACTAGAGGCACAGATATATACATAAAAATATCATAATTTTTTCATGGCCTTGTGTTTGGTTCTTAAAAGAGCAAATTTACAAAACCAACAGCCTAAAGTTAAGGTACTTTCTATCCTTGTTAACATGCCTATTCAGATTAAATAAGGAAATTGGATTAAAATTATATAATATATAAGCTGTTAGCACTCCATTAACTCCATCCCAAAAGAAAAAATGTAACTTTTTATGGGATGAAATTTGAATGCTAATCCTGCATGCACTATCAAGATTCACTGGCTGGACACAACTGAATGAAGATAGGTAATATGCAGCAAAGGCATTTGGCCTGGCATAACAAATTCACCAAAAATTTACCCAGTTTTAAGAGGGATTAATGGATTAATTAGGGCCACTACTGCCGTGCAGAATAAACAAACTGTCTCTATTAAAAATACAAATTAGTTTAATTCTTGTTTAAAGGATATAAGCATTTTTTTTTATTAAAATAAGTTTTCATTATGACAGCAAATAAAGCTTATATTTGCTGTCATAATGCTAACTTATATTTGTTATAGCCATCCTTTTTTATATCTTTATTATAAAGAAATAATAAATTATCAACAAAAACTTTTCTTAGTTCCGGTTAATCATAGCATGATCTGAATCTTTTGTTCCATTAGGTACAGGTATAACTGACTAAATTATTTTAAATCCAGCTGTCTCCAGGTTACGTCAGAACTACTGAAGTGTAGAATACTTGTTTGTTTACATTTAATTTTAATATGGGTGTTTTTTTTTTTAAATGGATGATAATGAAATGGTAACCCCACCTGCACTATCGGTATACACCGGCGGAGCACCAGTGAAGAATGATAGGTGAGGATGAAGTAGGTCATTTAGCCTATCATGATGAATTCAACAAGAATTGTTCATGATGATTTCCAGGGGGAACCACGTGAAGGTCGACCTAATAAGGTATATTGCTAGCAATGGAGCTGTCAAACTCCATTACTAACAATCCTTTTCTCCCTTAATATGGGTGTTGATGAAACGGTTTTACACATCCGTAGTGTAAAATTATCAACATAATTTTTTATTCTATGAAAACTATTGTAGATTTGTGGCCTTGCATTGCAACATGAGCTAGAAGCTTGATAATTAAAAGTTTAAAATTTTATTACTTTTACTAAAAATTAGTATACCAAATTAATTTTAAACTAAATTATTTATTGTACTTAAATTAATATTATTATAACTAATTTAAAACCATTAAATTAGTAGAATTGTGGCCACGCATTGTAACTTAGGCTAGAGGCCACATAGTCGTGCATTGCCACTTAGGTCTGATGTGACTGATTGTCTGCTTGATATTACAATGCATGTTTAGATGGCCGCAGCCCCTCTCCTAAACCCTCAACACCTAGAAGTACATCTAAAGATTCTACACCTAAAGGTATTTATATTATTCATTACAAATCTAATTATTGGAATTATTTTAAAATTATTTTTAATTTAATTATCTGATTATTAATTAGTTTATATAAATTAATTGTGGTTATCATCCACTGTGCATGCTCATTTATCTGTTTAAAGATACATACTTAATAAAATTCAATTTTCACAATCATTCTTTCTCTGCTCTCGTAACTTAGAACATACTATTGCATGTTTTGTTCCCCTTTTCTTAATAACTAAAGGTGCTTGTTCTAAATAAATATATCACTAAGAATGGTCAAAAAACTGATGGTTATCCTCATAATCAATGACAAATATTTTGGCGCCGCCTATAGATAACGAAAAATGTTACTGAATGTTACTGTTTTGCTATTAATAAGAGCTGCTATAAGCTCCTATAAAGTGAGGACATAAAGTAATGCCTCTTTAATACATATTACATTCGTCTTACCGTGGTCAAACTACAATTAAAAAATCAGCTACATTAATGGTGCATGATCAACATAGGAATAAATGTTGTCCATTTAAAAAAAATCATATGCAAAAGAAATACATAATTTTGACATTTAATTTTCCAGCAATACGCAAAGACAGCATAAGCGCATTAGCAACCAAAACACGCAAGGAAAGTGGTAGTTCTCATGCCTCTACTGATACGCCAAGCATCAAATCGGAGAAGGATTACGGTAAATCAATTTTGTTAAAATTTTAATATTAATACTAGAATCAGATACAATATTCTTTTAAAACAACTATATCGCCAGTCGGCGAAGCTAAAATATTATCTATGCTACATCCCTTAAAATGCACCTATTTCTCCTTGGATAAATACCAGAGGGAGACTGTACAAAAGTCGATTGCTTGGGCACCTCTGTCCCATTCGTGTTTCTACCGTGAAGCCACAACTGCTTGGCTGTGTTTCGGTTTAAAGGGTGGGATATGGTGTGAATTTACAGGGTACGGAGGAATAACACCTGAGTCCTCAGGAATGGCAACGCATGGGGGGTATCACGGGCAAAACAGTATACTCTGTTATGTCCATGGTACTGCTCATGTCTGTAGGCGACGGTTACCACTTTCCATCAGGTGGGCCGTCAGCTTGTTTGCCATTCTAAGTTGTATAAAAAAAATTAAAAAAAATACTCACATATTATATTTTTAAATAAATGAAATGCTACTTAATTTCAGATCGAAGAAGAGACTCCAGGGACTCAAACGCGTCAGGCACACGTGACAGTTCCACTAGCAGGAAATCAACATCGCAGAGAGATAAATCATCAAAATCCAAAGTTAGCGCTGTTTCAGGTAAGCAGTTACTTCACTCGTAATGTTTATGTATTTTTATATACTATTGAAAATTGACTTGATAAAAGATAAATCGTGGCTTCCAACAACATATTATGTCGGGATTTGATCTCTCAGCTATCTGGATAAAGTGTATGACCATTATAGAAAGAATCTAAGTCATATGAACTGAAACTTACAAACCTGTTTTAATTATTTTGAAGTGTTTACCCACATACTTTTATATTAAGAATTTAGATAGTAAAAAAGCAACACTATTTGATATTTGAATTATTAAAAAATGAAAGGGTATAGCCCAAATATGGTGACAATAGACAAACTTTCATTTCCAGTATGGGACTCGCCCCTCATAGACGAAGACGGCGGCTCACGCCGCGGTCGCCGTCGCGCTAACACCTCCACGCCGCCTGCAACCACGCCGGCGAAGCGCCGCCGCACTTGACACACGCACACCCACTCTTATCATCACTTCTTCTGACATACGCGCCCCTGGTGGGGCTACCGGCCTCACCCTGGACGGGGGGATAAAAGAAGCCATGCGGTTAATGTGTTCTTCATGTAGTGTTCTTTTTATTTAAATGTGTTCACATACAGTGCTTTTATAGTCTTATCTTCAGTACTCTGATGAATAGTTTATATCAAAGGCCAAGTATCGGCGCGCATTGCACCCATCTCTGTTTCGCGAGCGCATGCGCGTACAGCCAATCTGATTAACAGTAACAACCTTGTTAATGTTTCATAATTTCTAATATCTCACTGCCCTTATGATGCAATTAGAATGCACATCTAGTTGTACCATCTTTTTGACACAAATCGTGCATAGATAACGAAAAAAATTCAAATACAAATGTATATATTTCTTAATGAGTCATTGTTACTTAGATTGTAGTTTCATAGTTACAGGAAATAATGTATAATTAATATTGCAGATTTTTGGCTCTTTTATTACCTAATGTCAGTGGTATAGTGACCCTAAAATGCCATTTTATCATATACAACTATAGACAAATGGGCTCATCGTAAGAAATTCAATAATATTTTTCTCATTATTTGACTAATATTTAACTGTCAACTATAAAATATTCGTATTTTAACGACTTCGACGTGCTAAACTTTGGATTCTGGAAAATTTATTTTGATAGAAGTTTTGACTTAAAGGTCCGTTCGTATACGATGAAACAAAGTAATTCCACGCCGAACCTAGTTAATTTGATAGCAAGTGGCATAGTAGTGTGTTGTCGCATAATTTGCTGCTACGTTTTTTTCAGCGCGTATACCGAAGACATACTTATTATGTGCCAGTTAAACATGATGCAGTTACTGTAATTATACAACCTCAAAATGTTGCTACAATTCTAATTAGTCAATGAGATATGGGAACTTATAAGTCTCTCCTTAATAAAATGTATACAAGTCGCATGTATTTTATTTCCAACTTCCCAAAAAATTTAGATATACTCATTTAAATGACGTAAAGGAAAACATTACATAAAAATTAAATTACACGAGTATGTCTAAATTTTCACATGATGTAATCATAAGTTTTTTGAATCAAAAGAGAATGTAATAGAATAACTAATCCATGTTTTAGAACAATTATAAGGTTTAAATATAGCTTCTGACTGACTTCTTTATCAACCAGGTTCATTCACCGTAGAGGCGAGACATATGGGAGTCGTGAAACCAATAAATGTACACTTAAGCGACTTTAATCACTGTCATTAGTTACTTTCCAGGTTTTACTTGTAAATACAGAAAAGATAAAATGTTTTTTAGTACATTTCTATCACAACGAACCGCATCACGTAACTAGATACGGAACTGACTGTTATTTTAGAACCTGTTTTTATTTGATTTGATACCTACGTAATCGGTATCGAACTATGAACATTGAAAACTTGGTAGCATAGATCAGAGAGATTACCAGATTCATTACTACAACAAAATGAGAAATATTATGAAAATAACATTTTGTGTTATCTTTTTTTTCGCATAATAGAAATATTTGCTACATAATGATAAGTATATAATCACAAAAGTAAAGACATTTATGTAATTATACTGTTTATAGGGTAAGAACAGAAATTTTCACATAACACAGCTATATGTGTAGGTATCTACAAGTTTTGTAGATATTTTTGCCATTTTGAAATAACCGTCTACCAGAAACCAAAGATTTCGGATTGTTCTTAGCCAAAGACTTAGATGTATAGATTAAGAACCTGAATCAACTGAGTAATGTCAAGTCAATGTCACTTTGCTATATCTGTCAGAAACTTGTGTGACATAACATGTCATTGCAAAAAATATTATTAAAATAATATAAAAGTTATATTTTTCCAAATTGAGATATATTTAAATAAATGTAAATTACTGTATTTTAAATAAATATGGCTCGACCGGCTGCACAACCTGCTGAAGTGCTTCGAGCGTGGCAAAAGGATGATCTCTATGAGAAACAGCTTGCGGAATCATTATCGAAACTTATGCCTTCTCATCATGCTGCCAAAGCTGCCCCATTGTCATCGGTACTTTACAAGTCTTTCACAACCCTCAAGGATCTACAAACACTAGGAGAAGAGTATTCTGGCATAGTTCAAGTGGATGAAAGTTATAATAAGCTGCCGACATACAGCGCTCGTTTAATCAGCATACTCTTATCTGCTTTTGGCGAAACCTTTACGCGGAGACTTATTCGAAATGCAGAAAAAAGTGTTGAACGGAACGGATCCTTGCAACCGGCTGCACAAAACGCGTTTTTAGTTGGTCTAAAAGCTCTAAACAGTATGGTGCCTCAAATACAGAGTATACATAGAGCATTGTCTTATATCAATGGAGGCCCTATTCAGTTAGGGAAGACAGCAGCTGGCATAGACTATGTACATATTAGACCTGCAGCAGCAGCTTCTTATTCTCATTTGCGACTATTAGGCTATACAACCTTATTACATGCAATTATATCATGCGCACAAAGCATTTATCAGGCTAAAAAATATATGGACCAGTTAAGTGAAATTCCAAATGAGGTGGACAGTAGTAAATCATGTGTGGCCTGTTTAGAGGAGATTGCACAGCCCTGTGTACTCCCCTGTGGTCACATATTTTGTTTCCAGTGTTGTTATGGAGCATTAGAAACTTGTGCCTTGTGCCGATCAACATTCACAAAAAATGCCGTTGTGCCATTGATGAATTATTTCCCTAGTGATTTATAAAAATGTGGAAATTTTAGCTAGCTAGAAGACATGATATTATTCATATGAAACAAATAATTGGTTTGATTTTTAAATATACCTATACTCTTGTTTTAAAGTATGGTAAGCACTATAAGAATACTAAAATATGGTTTATGGATTTAACAAAACATGAGAAAGTAGCACTTGTTTTGATTTCAACATAAAATCTCAATGTGGTTTTTTACAGTAAAAACTTACCACAACATTAGATGACATATGTACATCCCTTGGTAAATTACATACAGTATAATTTATAGTAATCTAAGTCAGCTGGTGGAGTAGTAAGAATGAATTTAAAGAATTTGCAATAAATTTATGAAACTAGTTATAATCTTTGCAATGTAAATTTTAAATGATTTTTCAGTGATTTAACATTCATTTTAAACTTAAGCCTTTTCCTATTCAAGCTAGATAAATACCATAGGTTTCTGCTATTCTGACATTCATACTTTAATAAATGTTATTTATAACACATGATAAAAGCATTTTATCTATTTATTGACTTTTTATAATATCTTCTAATTTCTTAATTTTATATATAAAAAATATAACAGCTATTTTAATGTTGAATTAAACATAAGTATCTATCAATAAATTTAAAGTCACCAAATTGTGAATACCAAAGATTGTTCTTATAAGTTTTAAAGGTTTAGTATAGTTTCTGCTTTGGTAATTTTATAATCATAGTTTTAACATATTATCATATTTTTCGTTCAATAAACAACTTTTTATAATTAGATGGCTATGGTTTCTAGTGATGTCATGGTGAATTGTTTCAAATTATCATTAATAAAAAATATTTTTTATGTACAATTTTTATGGTAAAGGGTAAAATAATGAGATTCATTGAAATAAAAAAATATTACTTAAAAGTTTTTATTATTTATATTAATTTAATAACACAATATGCTTTGTTGAGGTTAGCAAATTAGATCAAATATTACAAAATACATTTTTCATTCAAATATTCGAAACAAATATTCGAAACAGAATTTTAATAGCAATGTTTTTTAAACTTTATAACCATTAAGTTATTCATGTGTTATATTAAAAAGAATTATTTTGTTTTCTTATAGATGTGAATAGTAAATTCAGTGTATCACTTGGTTTGCAAAAAAAAAAAAAACATTTTTTATTTTAAATCCTTTACTCCATTCAGGAGACCAGAACTATTTTTTTTTACTTTAGATTGTGATACAATTTCAAGTAGTTTCATTAATATTATTAGAAAAAGCTTCCTCAATACACATTACACATTTTTATTTTGTTAAGAAAAAATAAAAATGAGTACAAAAATACACCTAAAGCAACAGTAACTATTTTCGAAAAAAAAAAAAAAAACAATACCTAAATTAAGTAGGTATGTATATAATGTTATGATATATAAATATTTATTAAACTTCAGCAATGTTATTAAAGTTTTTTTTTATCATCTCCAAAAAATTTTCTTTTTGAATTTTGTTTTCTTATGTTCACTTAATCTATGTTGATTTGGTGATAAATGCATTTATGATGTAGAATAATAATAATGAATTGGCTTTAACACTGTGTTATTCATTCCATTTTGATACATATATTGCAAATGCAATATTTTGGTGAAAAAGAGTGAAATAGGAATTCTCTAGTTCATTAATTATCCTTTCATCTATGGTAAACACTGACTATTCAGTTATTTGCTTTGCAATTTCTATACAAAATACAACAGTACTTAAACTATCTGTAACCAAATAATATTATTTATGAATCTGAACAATTTTCTCCAAAAGATATGAAAAATGATTTTACAATTTTTAGTAATTTATCTTTTATATAATATTCTATGTACTTAACTTTCTTTGGAAATTATTGTTCAATTTCATAAATGCTATTAGTAATTTGGATTGTTAACCTGTTAGTAAGTACTATTCCTTATTCAATACTTTATAATTACGTTATTAGACATTCAATTTTCCAAAAAGAATTTTGTTTCTAATGTTTCATTTGTTAATTTTATAAATATGTTCATACATTTTTCTGTACTATAATATATAAAAAATTATCACTGATTGACATAATACATTTATATGACATTTTTATATAACTAAAAATAATTTTACAACTGAACAGTAACAAACAATATACCATTAAATTAAATTAAGCTTTGTGAGATATAGTGTAAATATAAAACATTAATACAGACATGGCAAGATTTATTCATACTAAAAACTATTCAACACGCAATAGTTCAACATCAAAAATTAGGGTAGCATTAGGTGGAATAACACCAGGATGGCCTCTGGAGCCATAGGCAAAATCAGGTGTGCAAGTTAGTCTAGCTCTCTCCCCCACAGACATCTGTAATATAGGATTTTTTTTATTAGTTTTATATATTATGCTTGGTTCATTTTTTTTTAATATCAAATTGTGGCTATACAATAATTATTAGGTATAATCAATATTAATTAAATGAGTTTTATAGACAAAAAAGGAAATGGGCATAGACATGATTAGGATATATATAATTCACCATACCATATGAGATTTACACATATGATTTGAAGAAATATTAAAATAGTTATTTTTACATATAGATAATAGCATCATAATTAATACAGAATATATTGTCATTCCCATATGCCCACCCCTCATGTTTATTTCCATTCTGGATTATATATGAATGAAATTATTATTAGTTTGTTTCAAATCTCAGTTTAAAAAGCTACTTATAATTACGATAATTTATTTTACTTACTTTTGCCAAACCCTGGTCCCATCCTTTTATAACATCTCCTTTGCCTAACGTGAATTTGAAGGGCTGGCCACGATCTCTTGACGAGTCGAATTTTTTACCATTCTGTAAAGTTCCGGTATAGTGAACTACCACCGTTTGACCCGGTTTGGGATAAGTAGAGCCTAAAAACACAATAAATTATTTTAATACAATTAACGAAGATAAATAATAGGTTTTGCTAACTTGCAACAACCTTCTAACTTTGATTACGAACATATTGTAGGTTATAAGGAAAATAACAATAAAGCGAAACATACCATTTCCTGGAGACAGCGTTTCTACATCTACACCCATGATGAAATAGTTTGTTAACAAGAATAAAATAATAATAATATTATGATTCCTTCAGTTATACAGATATATCCGTAAAAAAATGTTTAAGTAGTAGAAATACTACTTTTTGATTCGAAAAATTTGGTGGAGAATATTGAAGTATTTAATGGGCAGTTTCTGTAATCTGTGTTGTCCATAGAGTTGCCAGTCCAGTCTCAGTATTAGTCAATTTTATTAGATTTCTTTTCTTTAACTAAATATATTAAATGCTCTTTTCTCCAGTACGGAAAAAGAAAAAGTAATTTACAATAGTACTTTAGTTTCTTTGTCATGTGCATAATATCATTATATATTCATTCATCTTTAGATAATACAAAACGTAGATACTATCCTTAATCTACAAAATATGTAAGTCAAATACAAGAATATATAATCTATGAATTTAAAAAAAAAGCATATCGCAACTGACCAATCATAGAATAGATTTTAGTAAACATTCCAGAATGTCAAGCATAGAGAAAACAGTTGAAATTAAATAAAAGTTTTATATTCGACCGCTTTTTCCGTATCATAATGGTTTTTTGACGTTTTTTTTTGTAAATATTTTGATGTAGACTATTGGACTTCATTTTCTCAAATAAATAAAAGCACATAACACTTTAAAAAGACTTTCAATAAATCGTGAAGATGGAAGTGGATGGTGCTGAAAATTGGAATAATAATCTTTCAGATGGAGGAAAGTTTGCTAACTTAAAAGCTTTCGTGACTGCTGCTCGTGAGTTTGAAGCAACTCATAGTGAATCTGCTGTTAATTTAATGACTCGATATTTGGGAGTAAGTTTGAAATGTTTTAATTTTTTTGTTTTATTATAAAAATAATGCCTAATGAAGTCTATAAAATCGTCTGCTTGAGTTCTTCTAACTCGTGTCATCTCGTATAGCGAGAAACATCTGTGCTTGCATGGTGAAGCTTAATTTGAACTGTGGGAAATGACTGAAATTACGGGGTATACCGGTATAACAGCATAGTCCTTAGGCAATTTATTAACAGTATCATGGTAGAAACAGTTTATTCTGAGATGTTTATGAATGATGATTATTTTCCATTAAAGTTTTTTTCCGTTCTATATGGCATAAAAAATAAAGCAGTCTAATATTTTTTTATATTTATTTTAGCTTGTAGCTTCGTCTTGTGACTTGACAATATTTTCACCGGGCCGGTCAGAGGTGTGTGCCTTCTTTAGCTCACTGTGGCGTGTGATGTGTGATGGTCGTGGGCCACATTGGGCTGGCGTTGCTGTGTTAGCTCGTGCTGCTATTGAACCTAGTGCCAGGCATGCTCTTACACATACATATAAGTGAGTATGTTTTTTATTTCAAAATATCTAATTCAACAATAAAAACAAAATTCTTTATGAAATTTATATATATTATATATATATATATAAAACATCTGTTATAAAAGCTGCCTGTACATCAGCAATATATATAGTAATCTTAGCCAGTAAAGGATAGTCAAATTGTTTATTAAAGAAAAAGTTTTTCTTATGGTAACTTTTTAACTTACTCTCTACAAGACAGCAATATCTATATATGGTATAATTTTATTTAATGTAATGTATGTTCACCACCACTGCCCAAAAGCTTTCTGTTTTTATGCAATGGTTAGCTGATAGAGAATGCTGTCTGGCATTAAACTCGTCATTTGTATAAATTTTATTGTACAATAAAGAATAAGTAAATAAATATAACAATAAATTTCTCTTTGTGGTAACTTTCTACACTACTTCTACCAGAGAGCAATGCCTGTAAAAATATCTGAAATTGATGATGATCAATAATGGGATATTATGCACTTTTTAACATGTTGGAGATAATAATTAAAATCATCAACAGTTTCAACTAGATATTTATTAAATTAATTTTGATTTTAAAGAATTTCACTTTTGTTGTAAAAATTGTCACCAGTGTAGATCTAATATAAGTCTGTCTTATAATAACTGTGATTGAGGAGGTACCTAATTATTATGACAACTATGCTGCTATTATAATTTCAAAATGGCTGTATGTTTAAATTTCTCTATACTATTACATAGGCATTATTTTTTGGATTTTCTTATTTTAATAACATTTCAGTTAGTGTTTCAATAATAATGTGAATGTTAAATTATTCTTTTTCAGATTCATGCCCATTCTTTCACGGCTATTGTCTGACACAATATCTAATGATAAAAAAATAAAAGTTCTGTCTGTTATGCAGGTCAGTGTTTAAAATATATTAGTATTTTGAAATAAATTTACATAAGATATACATAAGGATCCTCTAATTTTGATAGTTAAAATTAATTTGGATAATAATAATGGAACTGTTATTGCTTTACATTAATTGGGTATCAGTAATGGATGAGAGGTAAGAATGAAGTAAGTTCAATTAGCTCATCAGGGTTTCTAGAAAATAATCACAATGCTTTTAAAAAAAATCATCTACTGGTTGACTTGACAGAATATGTATAATGTAAAATATACATTTATGTATAATGAAGGTAATATGAGTAATATATATGTTATTTTTTAATTTAATATTGTTTCTCTATTTATTTGCACATTACAAAATTTAACAAATAAATAAAAAAGTATATGTTAACAATTGGAATTATTACTTGTTGGATATAAGTGAATAATGCAATTTTAATGAAATTAATAAATTTTAAAAATAATAATGTTTCTTCCCATTGCTAACAATCCCTTTTTCCCTTTTGAAGTGCATTAAATATGTATACATCTTCATATATTTCAGGAAATATCCTATGGTATAAAAATCAGCTGGCAAGAGTCATATTTATCTGGGCTAATGAAACGGTTGACGGATTGGATTACACAGCCAATGCTGGAGCCTCAACACAGGACCATAGGCCATAAGTCACTGACAGTTCTTGTAAATGTCTGCTATGGTAACTTGCCAGCGATATATGCATTAATGAGGACAGTTGACACTAAGGATTTTGTGGTGCATCTTATTAACTTAAAGGTATAGTATAGAAATCACCCTTACAAAAGATTTCTTTAAAATTACTTTTGTCTTTTTTTTTTTTAACTTTAGCATACTTCAGAATATTGTAAGAAAGGGAACTCAAACATTTTTATAATTATGTGGAGATTATTAGTTTATATTTCATTGTTTATTTTTATATTTTTGGTGCAATAAAGAGTTAAATAAATAAATAAATTATTAGATATTTAAAATAATGTTTCATATCAATATATTTAAAATTCTGAGGAATTTCCCTTTACATTTCTCTAAATTTTTGTTACCCCACTGCAGATAATTGTAATATTGTATTTTATTTAAATCTTATAAAAAATCGTAATATACAAGTTAATAAGAATTGTTATAATGACTGCACTACTAATAATAACTACTACCCATTACTTAAGTTTAAAAATAAAAATGATTTATGATAGGTACAGATAAACAGTCAAATCAATCTCTACATGTCTATCAAATCTGCTTACAAATTTGCCTTAGTGTCCTAATTAATAAAGACTCTACTATTCGTGTATTAAATATATTGTAATTTTATAAATTGGTGTTTTTGTTTTTTTTTAATGGTTTAGAAATAGTGACCCTGTCTGTACTATTACTATACACTGGCAAGGTACCAGTGAGGAATGATAGTTGAGAATGAAAACAAGTCAGTTGTCTCATCATTATGAATTCAGTAATTATTACCCACAATGGTTTCCAAGTAGTACCATGAAGAGGTTGGTAGCATATATTCCTATCAATGGGGAAGTTAAACCCCTTACGATCGCTTTAACCCCACAGGATGGTGGTTACGGTGGCGTAGAGACGTGCCGACTATTGCTGTGTTTGACTGGCGCGAGCCGAGGCGTGGCTTCCACGCGGCAACAAGACGTGCACGGTTACCTCTGCTGCACTCTGCGTACATTCAACAAAGCCATCGCGTTAGTATCATTTTCGTTATTTTTTTTTATGCAACCTAGAATGGCAAACAAGCTGATGGCCCACCTGATGGAAACTGGTAACCGTCGCCTATCGACACGAGCAGTACCTTGGACATAACGAGAGTGTACTGTTTCGCCCATGATACCCCCCATGCATTGCTATTCCATTGCCATTCATCCATTGTCATGACTGACTGGGATAAAAAGTAGCCTCTGTCATCTATCCCAAATAGTATATTTATACCAAACTAGCAATCCAGCCCGGATTTACACGGGTAAATAAAATTTTCGAAAATAATATGTTACTGGCTAAAAATATAGCTTTCCTCAAAAAGAAAGAGGTTCACAATTCAGTTATATTTTTTATATTTGTTACCTTATAGCTCCATCAGTAATAAACCGATTTGGCAAATTCTTTATTTTTATATCTGAATGGATATACTTACAGATTGGTTCCATAGATATTTTATTAAAATAGGTGTAGTAGTTTAGTTTTGAAATAAAAATAACTAGTTTTGTCACAATTGAAGTCTGTTTTATTCCAACATCGATCATAGTTTCACTTGTATCAACATTATTTTGTTAATTTTAATTTCTAAATATTTTCAGTGAAAAGGATGCGACGCAGTTGCTTCATGCTTACACTTTCATCAATGATCTATGTACAGATAACAATTTGAAAGGATACGTGTTGACATATCCACATTTCACAGCAGCACTAAAAGATGCATTAAAGGTATGTTTGTCTTTAAAATTATTCGAGTGTTACATACAAATGCATTATATAATAACAACTCTCTTTTGTGTGGTGAAAGTTTATTATTTTTAACTTTAACATAATTTACATCTACCCTCTTAAGGAAGGGAGATGGCAAACTGGTAGAAGCACAGTCAGCCGGGGTGCAGGATCCCAGTGGAGGGAAACCGATTTACTAGGGGGGGGGGGGGGAGGTAAGGGATTATTAATAATGCAGACTACCAGTCCCATTGCTAGCAATGTTCCTTGTCAGGTCGACCTTCACGTGATCCCCCCTGGAAACCATGGTGCTGAATTCCAAGTGCGTTCTTCTCAGGTCATCATGATGGGCTAACTGACCTACGTTTTCATTCTCATCTATCATTTCTCACTAGTGTGTCCCGCCAAAGTATACCGTTAACGTGGGTAGGATTATTCCATTATCATCCATTAAAAAAACCGACTAACTATGCGGGCAGTGCCCAATAGCACCACTTTTTGCGTCTTTCCCGGGATTGACCCGCCTCGGATACCCAACAGTCTGAGATGTTGTTCCAGACTGGTTGGGATAAGATCGTTCACCGACAGAACAATTGTGATAATTTCAATGGATGTCACCCCTCACATTTTGGTCATCTTGTGAGCCAAGTCGAGATATTTTCTCTTTTTGGTTTCGAATTTCACAAGGTTCTCATAATGCAGTATGGTGACATGCACCAAAAACACCCTCGAGAGTGCCCTACTTTTGTTATAGCTTTATTTTCTATACATGATTATTTTTTACAATATTAACAAATGTTTTTTAACATTTTTTTGTATTTTGGTGTATGGTCCCCCACAGATAAATCCTCCATCATATTCCATTTATTTCGATCTGTAGCAACATCTATTAAATAGTAAATGATACCTATTTCAATAAAGACAGAGAAAAAGGCAAAGAAACTTGAGAGGTAACCAGTTTATCTTGTAAATCAAAGGACTAGGAAATTCTAAATATGTTAGGGTAGATCATAGAAATAAACATTTATGATTTTCCTAGGTATTCCATGAAATACCTAATATTCATGTATTTCTGCAATATATGAACTAACTGTAGGTCTACTGAAACTTCAGGACCTAGACAGCCTCTGCAAGGTGACATCAGATGATGCTGAAGAGTCAGAACAAGCTTATGGTTGTCTACAAAATGCACTCAAGTTCCTTACAGTTTTAGTAAATTTAGGTAAGAAATATTAAGTATATATAATAGTTCACTAGCTTTATTTCACGACTTGACTTGCCTGAATCAGTATATAAAGTATCTTATGTGCTAAAGTAGAATATAACCTACTTGTGCATCAGATTTCATTTGGGTCCAATTAGTAGTTTATGTGTGAAAGAGTAACAAACATCCATCCATCGTTACAAACTTTTATATTTATTATATTAATGTGATTCAATTATATAAGTACAGTCCAGATTTACTCTTTGGAGTATGTAGAGTTTATATATTAGAAAATTTGATTAAAATTCACAAGTAAAAAGTTTTTAAAGAAGAAAAAAAAATTTACTTGTTACATAAAAATACATGCACCGCCATTTACTTTCACTCTTTAGCGTAATGGTTAATCAGGCATTAAATTCTCTCTGTATACATATTTTAATGTGTGCAAAAATATAAATAAATAAATACAAGTACTTCGAACAATATTTTTTTATGTATGCATATTAGGACTTGTAATTTCATTGACATATTTACTAACTTTTCAAAATGAAACAGTCATCCATGCTCAGCTGCTTGGCGACAGAATCACGAGACAGAGGTACTCAAACGATTTTAAAGTACTTTCAACTTTTTTTATATATAAACATATTCTAAATTTTCAGATTTATATACATTGCGATGTCACCACATACAGTTAGTGTGTCTGTGTATGAAAGCGAGTCAAATGTGCCTCCCAGAGTCGCTCGAGCTATTTGCCGCTATTGTGTTACAATATAGAGGTACAGACGTAAGAAAATTATATGATATGTTTTTTTATTAAAATTAAATGCTGTAATTGGAATTTTCTCCTTCTGTATTCATGTCACAATTATTTTTCTATGTATAACATAATTTTGTATTAATATAATTGTAACTGCCAGATAGTCTGTTCATATCAAAAAGCAGTGAACAGAAAATAATAATAATAATGTCTCTAAAGAAAGAAAAAAGACGAGGGTCATAAATGTTTTTAATTTTTTTTTCTTAATTGTTTAATTCTTCATGGTTTTTCATAAAATTCATCTTTAAAAAAAATAAAAATCATTCCTTGGTTATTTACCACTTCCTTATTTCAAACTATATAAGATAATAATTTAAATATTTTTTTAGACGAAGGTCGTCTACCTCAAGATCTGATATCAGTTATCAGCGATGGTCTGCCCAGTTTACTTGTTCCACCAGCGTTAGAACCAGGCAAAGCAGGCTTGCAATGGGTAAATATTTATATATACAGATATGTTTTGTCTACGTTAATATGGCACGCTCCTTCAATTTTTTATTTCAATGTGTGTGACCATATACAGACATTTGTGCTCTGTTTGTGTTTATGAGGAAACTTTTCAATAGCGGTCTGGCCAGAGTAGTATTATAGATCCTCAAAAATCCAAAGAATTAAAAATGTTTAAGTAAAAATATTTACTAGGGTTCGACTAAAGAATATAATATTTTGGTCAGGCCGCTACTGAAGATATTTCTTCACAAACACAAACAGAGCACCACGTCTGTATATATGGTTACACTGATTGAAGTAAAAAGTTGAATGGGTGTGCCATGTTAACCCTTCATACTCCGTTGTCGCCGTATTTGCGACATTAAAAATGCTAAAATCAAATCGTTACGGCGAGTTGTTTTATTGACTTAGTGTCCTTTATAAAATAGCTCAGAAATGTTTTGTTTTATTGCAACAACTCCATTTTTCTTTTACATCACAGGTATGTACTTGTAATTATTATAGTGCTGGAGTTATTGGTATCCTCCATGAGTTATAAGACTGGAGTGCAAGGGGTTAACCTTTCTACTACTACATAGACACTCTATACTATGTTTTCAGTTGCAAGTGGTAGGTGCGCTGTGCGAGACGAGTGAGACCCAAGAGCGTGTACTCAACGAAGTAACACCTGATACATTCGAGGACACCCTGCACAATGTACTGCACTATACATCTCAGGTAAATACTGCTCTTGTATATATGTGTTCTCACCCAAAAAATAATTTAATATTCTTATCATAGTGACTATTCTAAAATAGTTAATATGATATTCTTATTGCAGCAACAGGACATGTCAAGTGTTAGCTTCATCACAACGCTAATAATAGACTTTGCCTCTATCATATTAGAGATTACAGTCACGAGCATATTTGTTTTATTAATTAATTTAAATTTGTTTAATTTTTCTTATATTTACAAGATTATATTTAAAAGATACTGTTTGGAAAGCTTTTTAATCTTGATCGAATGGCTTTAAGAGTCAAGATTAAGTAACTAGTTCAATATCATTTTATTTTTGTAGTTTTACCACCTATTTATTATTCTTTCGTTCTTACCTATTAAAAAAAAAAAAAAAAACTTTATTAAAATAACGTAGGTTTAATATGTTCATAATGATTGTTAATAATAGATATTTAGTCCTCAATGCTAGTACTATGCCGCTTGAATAAAATAATGTGGGTGTAGCGGATATTAGATCTCGTTCTAAGATTAAAATTAGAATTTAGAATACATATTCTAAATTCAAATTCAAATTTGTGTTCTGTAATCTATATAAAACTATTTTGTGTTGTGTACGTGTACATGTACAGACGGGCGCGCTGGGCAGTGAGGCGGCTCAAGCGGCCGTAGTGGTGTCGTGCCGCAGCGCGCTCGCCCTGGCGCCACTTGCACCGCGCTGGGCCGCCGCGCTCGACCGGCTGCTGGCGCACCACCAGGTACACACGCACACGACACGCACACGCATACGCATACACACAGGTACACACACTCACGCACATGCACCAGCACACACGCATGCACTCACTTACATCTACGCATACGTATACACACAGGTGCGCGCGCGCACGAACGCACGCACGCACCCACGCACGCACAAACACGTACACACGCATGCACTCACGTAGATAGATAGATAGATAATTTTATTTGCATTACTTACAGCACACAAATTACAACATACATACACAAAAAAAGCGAGATAACATAAATGGCAAAAAAAATACATAAAACCAAATGCAACTTTCGTTTGTGAGTGTGCCATAGCAATACAAAATGGCCACAACTCAGTTTATTGCTTCGCCCTCAAAAGAGCAAAGCACTGATATTCTGTTGCGGCCAAAGGGTAAACGTACGCACTCACTCTTCTCAATCTTTCGAACTCACACTTCCACTCATTCTCGCAAGTTCACATACAGTTTAGAGTGTTCCTGTGATAATTTCAACAAAACTTGATTAACTTTTAATTATTTTCTATTGAATCAAATATAAGTATTAACTTACTAATATGGTCACAACATTTTATTTTACATTTTTTGTAACAAAGTAAACATTACAGTTCAGTGCTAGAAGTCACTATGTCATGTCTTCAGTGCAATTAATTATTATTATATATTTCATAATTATGTTATCTAAAAATAAATCATAATCATTACTTGTTTCTGTAGAATATAATAAATTCAAGATTTAGTAAGTGCCATGGTTAATTTATACTCCTTTAGATTCGGAAACTCCTGTGCGCTGGGCTCACGGGCGGCAACGGGTCGCGACGTCGGCAAATATTGCAATTGGTCAAACATCATTATTTCCCCTCCGATCAAATGAATCAGGTAAGGATTATTTTTAACCGACATTAAAAAGAAGGTTTTCAATTCGATTGTATTTCCTTTGTAGGGGGATTTTCCTAGGGGGATTTCGCCTGCCTGGTGGAGTACCAGTGAGTGCGAGAACAAGATATTGAAGAAAGATTCTGCACATTGATGACCAGCTATTACGATATCGCGCATACCATACCTATATATATATATATATATATATATATATATATATATATATATATATATATATATATATATATATATATATATATATATATATATATATATATATATATATATATATATATATATATATATATATATATATATCCGCTATATAAGTACGTATAATATATTATTTACACAAAACTATTTTATTTTATAATTATTCATGGTAAATCAATTTTATCCCCTTCAAAGCTTACTCCCCCTGTGACATAATGCACTTGTGCCAACGCCGTTTCCACTGTGAGAAGGCTCCTTGAAAGTCCTGCTGGTTGTAGGTTTCTCAGATAATAAGCCCCGTCGTAGTATTATTTTTTTATCTCATTTATGTCCCCCAAATGCCGCCCGCCGAAGTACCAATTTGGTTTTTGGGAACAAGAAGAAGTCACACGGGGCCAAATCCGGCGAATAGCGGGGGGTGTTCGGTCACCAAAGAAAAAATGGAATTTTTCTCAAAAACTCACGGAACGATCTTGGCGCAAATTTTTTTCATTTGAAGTTCGTTTCTATATAGAATTTCGTGGACCACGGTTTTGCCCAAATTAAGCTCTTCAGCCACCTGTCTGACCGTTAAACGACGGTCCCCATTAACATTTAGTTCGAATTCTTTCCACGTTTTCGTCGGAATGTGAAGTGGAAGGACGTCCTGAACGTGGGTCATCTTGAACGCTTTCTCGGCCCTCTCTGAATCTTTTTAGCCACTTGTGGACGGTTGGTTCCTTCACAGCATCATCCCCATAAACTGTTCTGAGATCGGCAAAAATTTCACGTGAACCCATTCTTGCCGAGTTTTCGAGAGAAACTTGATTACGACGCGCTGCTCTTCAACGGGAAGATGGGCTCCAGAGAGAGAGACGGGGTTTCGTTAAGAGGTAACTTCACAGATGTGTGTGACAAGAAACAATATATTTTTTTTTACGTCACACATATGTATTTAAAACATTTGCGGCGGTCAGACCAGAACTGAAGATTGTTAGGGACATAAAACATAGCTCATGTTACATTTATTACCTGGCCTCCCCACTAATTTTTTTTCTCGCATTCCAGAACATTTTTATACGAACTTTCCGGACAGATTCTTCGTATACTCTACTATATATTATCCGCAAACTGTGCGGGGAGAAATCGGAATCCATGGAACACTTGATGTGTAACTGCAATTCGTTGGCAAGTATGCGTATGAGTCTACTGGGAACGGCTTATCCAGAGCCAGGGGACTACAGATATCTTAAACTGCGGGATATCGTTAGGGTAACACATAGGATCTATGAAACGATGGTATAAGGCAGAGGGAAGCACAAAAGATCCGTATGGATCGACGTGCAACGGCTTAGCTGACCCCATATGCGAAAAATAAGATAGGATAATAAGAATCCGTTAATTATGTATTATCAATTGAAAAATACAAAAAAAAAAATTTTTTGTCAGGTATTCGGCGATTTTAGCCTCTTCTTGAAAGAGGTGTCGGAGGTGGGCAGTGAGAATATCAGTGTAATGAGCATACCCGCGCGTTAAGGTGGACGGAATTTGCCGAGGTCATTGCAATACGCAATTTATTTTCAAGAGGGCGCATAACGAAGAGTCATGACTGGACGTATCAAAATCGTCGGCCAGCTCGCCGACACGCTACGCAGCGGGAAGGTACCAGTGTTTTTCCCTCCATCTCCCTCCTTCCGGGAAGATATATTGATTTTCACAGAGAAAGAGGAGAGATATAGCGTGCAAGAAAGAGCACGAAAGACATTGGGTATGTGTGATAGAAAGAGGGAAACAATATATTTTATTTACGTCACACATATGTATTTAAAACATTTGTTCATAAAGTGAACAATATTTTTTTATTAGCGCTAACTTGACACGAGTAGACGGATAAATGATTACGAACTTTTTCAAAAATAAAACATAGCTCATGTTACATTTATTATCGTAAACAATGTAGCTTTCTATAGGTAATTTTTTTTTAAACAAAAAAAATCATTTTTTTCCTGATAATATTATTTAGATGTAAAATAGCATGAAGATAGTGTCCTTTGTATACGAGATTCTTTGTATCTGTACAAATATTTCATATTTTTCATCGCTATCACAATATATAAATAATTATCTTATTTGAAAATACCAACATATACTATACACATCTATACAGATGTAGTATGTAAACAAATATTAAAAAAGAAAAGAATTGTATACGTCTTTGTATCTTATGTATGTAGTACACAAAAGTCCCAAATATGTACAGCTATAGAAATGTTTCGATGATCATATTGTACTTGTTATAATTTAGAAAACATACCTTCTGGTTGGGTTCTATTTATTCTAAGTTGTGTCCACGTGTTCAAAGTTCAATTGTATTTCATTATAATGTCTAGATATCAGATATCGCCACATCCAGCGTGATGGAGCTCTATGGATACAAGATGACTTGTTTGGAACAGAGATTGCACTCACAGTCTGTGGCATTGCAGGTAAATAATATTTTACAACATTGTATTTTTTTTTTCTATACTTAACATATGTGATTATAATATGCATTGATTCATAGCCAAATAACTCAAAAACCTTTTATCATTAGTTTTATTATTTTGTGCATTATTTTAATTAATAACTGTACACACAGTATGGGTTCTTAAAATGGGGGGTAAAGATGTTTCTTCAAGGTCGGCAACGCGCGCGTAATACCCCTGGTGTTGCAGGCGTTCATAGGCTACGGTAATCGCTTACCGTTAGGTGGGCCGTACGCTTGTTTGCCACCTCAGTGGTATAATTTTTTTTACCAAGATTGTTTACTAAATTGCACAGTGAATTTATAGGGTACAGAGGAGTAACACCTGAGTCCTCAGGAATAACAACACATGGGGGTATCATGGGCAAAACAGTATTCTCTGTTATAGTAATTTTGACGGTGGGATGGTAAAAGAGCGTAAGTATTATTAAAACAATTGTATTTATGTACCAGGGCGCCAGCGAACATATGGCGTCATTGCAGCACTCACTGGCGATGTTGCAAGCGACCAACACGTCACAGCAGAACGTACTTTACACCACACAGATGCAAAACGAAAAGTATGTATATACTTGTCTGTTTATATATTTATTAATAATTTAATGCACTAATACTGGCAATTTAAGAATATAGAATGAAAAATAAATTCAATAAAATTGTAATTTAAAATGAGCGCAATTAACGCTAGTGCAATCTCTTCCAGTCGACCTCTTGGAAAAGAGTAGCGAGTTAAGAAATAGAAATGAGTGGAAATAACAATAAAAATTTTATTCTAAGTATTTTAAATCGACTTCAAAAAGAAGGGAATCTTAATTCGGTCGTATCTTTTTTTATTTTATTACTTCATAACTCCGTCAGTTCTAAATCGGTTTGGAATTTTTTTTATTGGAAAGAAAATACTTGTAGATTGATCCCATAGAAATTTTATCTAAACCGATTTACTAGTTTAATGTTTAGAACAAAACAACTGTTTGTATCACAATTGAAGTAGATTTTTTTTTTTATGGGACACAATATTAAATTATTATATAACTGAATAACTGGAAATTAATGAATTGTGTTTGTCATTTCCAGACATTTGTATTGTCTAAAAATCTTTAAGTAAATTCCTCGCAGCAGTGTGTCACCTCAAAAAATGAACATGGGTTTTATAAAAGTATTAAATACTTTATTTATGTATGTATATAATTATCTATATATTATTTCTTGTATGTAAATACAAGAGCTTCCTACACACCTAGTCTGCAAGAGTGCCATGGGTGTCACAGTGTATTGTATTGTCTACAGTATTGTTAATAACTACAAAATAATGAAGTTTTCATCACACTTACTTGTATTTTCAATAACATAGTTATTCTGAAACACAAAAATATTGATATAGGTGATTTTAAACAGATTGCATTCAGCAATTAAAGCTGTCCAATTGTATTTATACAAGATATTGTTTGCATACTTTTATTCCTAATGTGGTATTATGTAAATAAACTATACTCAAATTATTCAAAAGAAACATTTTCAATATTAAATTTCTTATGATCAAGTTAGATACACATACATATAGTTACTGCAAAGTAACCCTATTATTAATAAAACGTCAAGTCACTCAGTGTCTTGTCCCTTTCTTTTGTATTCATTTATTCCATTTGTAAGACAGTGACAAAACACTTTTGTTAATATAGGTTTGTAGAACGATTTAGTGTTAAGGGGGTAAGTCTGCCTTAATGTTACAAAAAATATTTATTTATAGCAAACACCATCTCCCACTAAACCCTTCCTGAAATACAATATAGTAATGTTATTTTTTTTATATTTTCATATTTTTATTCGATATTTATTGTATGTAGGAAGACACTCCAAATTAGAGGGGGGAAAGGGATTGTTAGTAATGGAGTCTAATAGCCCCATTACTGGCAATATACCATCTCAGGTTGACCTCTATGCGGTTCCCCCTGCAAACCATCATGTTTAATTCTTGTCGAATTCATCATGGTGGGCCAACTAACCTGCATTCATTCTCACCTATAATCTTCCACTGGTGCCTCGTCGGTATATACCAATAGCGCGGGCGGGGTTACCAATCCATTTTCACCCATTAAAAAACTCCAATTTAGTCAGAGTAAATAACCATTATCAGCACACCTAATTTAAGATTACTTTTAAACACAAATGTTCTTGCCGTCTCTATTAAAACATGATCTGTGGTAATAAGTGTTATATATATAAGTTGTATTAATATTACTTGACATCTAGATGGGATGTTTGCGATTTTTAATATTATTTTTAACACTTGTATAAATAATTTTACTTTCATTTACATAATGTATATTATAAATTGAGCTTAAATTCCGTCAGCATCGATGGTTCAGTGGTAGAATGCTCGCCTGCCACGCGGGCGGCCCGGGTTCGATTCCCGGTCGATGCAATCGCTTTTTGTTATTTACAAAGTTTTATTTTATGCCTTTTTGTTATTAATTTCCTAATATTATTGATAATTAATGATTAATAAACTTTTAATTTTTTTTTTATTAAGAATTTTCAAACAAATTTAAACTGATTTCTACAGGTTTATTAAGAGAAAAAATATGTCACATTAGGTTGAATTTTTTATAATATTATAGAAAATGTCAAAATAAGAACATTATATTTTGTATTCCGTTGACCAACACTTTTGATATGTCGCATACGATTACATGACAATTCACGACGCATTCATCTCTTCACACATTTCTGTTGGCCAACTGATAAGAAAAAGTTATATACACTGTCGCATTACTCTGCCCACTGACTACATTAATTATAATGTAGTTATTTTCAACCGACTTAAAAAAAGGAGGTTCTCAATTCGGCCGTATTTTATTTTCATCTTTGTTATCCCATATCTCCGTCAGTTCCAAATCTATGTGAAACTTTTTTTTTTTTTTTATCTAAAAATTCATTTATAGATTGGTTTAGTAGTTCAGTTTTTAGTTTATATGTGAGATGTTTTTTTTTTTGTGAGACACGCTTTAATTATATCAATTTAAATATATTCTCTGTGCAGACATAAAAAGAGAATAGATGAGCTCCACAAACAGTTGGAAGATGCGGAGACGACGCTGCGAGCGTTCCGCGCCAAGCTGGCCGCCGAGCGGTTGGACAAAGAGAATCAGAAGGATAATTTGCAAAAGGAGTTCAGAGTGCAGCTAACTGTTAGTAGATCATGTTAATTGACATTTGTATGGGATTTTCAAATTGTTTATTTTTCGAGATTTTTATCTCACAGACGTGACAATCTCATTGCTTCGAACAATATTAATTTTATTTTGTATAATTAGTAGTTTTTTTTTTTTAACTGATCTTCATTTTCTGACGATGTCTATTGTATAATGAGAAGTTTTAACAGACTTCAAAAAGGGAGTTGTATTTTTTTTTGTTACCTCATATTTACGTCAGTTGTAAACCGATTTGGAATCTTTCAACTGAAAGGGTATACTTACAGATTAGTCGAATAGAAATTTAATCAAAATCGGTTCAGTAGTGTAGTTTTTGAATAAAAACAACTAGTTTTTTTACAGTTGGATTTGGTTTTTTTTTTGTGGTACACGATCTTATATAAACATACTATGTTTGTCGTTTCCGATATTTATTTCGACTTAATCAGGACTTTTTTTTTAGAGTCATTATGGTGCTTTATGTCAGAATGGTGCGACGACAATGCACAAGTCTATATTTCTAATTTTCATGTTTTAATTTGATTCGCTTGTTAAGAATAGTATTAATCACCTGAAGTAATTTAAAATCTTAATTTCAAACAATTTCCTTATATTGAAACTTATTATTAAAAATAAATTAATACTATGGAAACAGAAATAAACATTTTATTCAAGTTTCTTTTGCTCTTCCGTAAAGTTCCATATTTTGATTACGCACTGTCGAACTTAATTGCAACTATGTGTATATACAATGGTAATATTTTAATTGATCCTGTCATATATAACTGACAGCGTACCCTGTGTCTGTATGTTTGTCTTTTGCCATTTATTTAACTAATATAATTTTTATTTACACGCGGTAATAAAATAGAGTAAAATATAGAACAAAAATTTACAATATTCTAAAATTACTTGTCAGTACTATTTTTTTTTTAATTTGCCTGTATTTATTTGTTGTAACCGATTTTATTATTACTTATAGATATGTTTTGCTTAATATTTTTATTTTTATTCGGGCTAAAATATAATTAACCATTTTAAATTTTTTTTTTACTTCTAATAGTTATTTTATGTCTCATAGTACGTATCTCAGTTTTAAATTTGAATAAAAAAATTGTTTTAGAATTTAGAGAACGAGATGAAATCTAGAGAAAAAGCGGCAGAAGAGAGAGTACGGCAATCAGAGGTGGAGAACAAAGCTTTACAGAAGAAGTTGGAGCAACAGGTAACTAGAGGATCGATTTTGAGTTTTTTTTTTATTATTTTATTTTATTCTCTCTATGTTTAAGGCTTGAAAATGTAATAATGACTCTCCTTTCCAGTGAGAAATGGTAAGTGAGGATGATAGCAGGTCAGTTGGTCTATGGTCACAAACTTGAACAATACATTGCAGAATACATTGTGAACTCGACTGTAGCCCGCATGCATTGTCCCTCCTGAGGAATTAATGTCTCCGTATCTTGTCATCTCACTGTCATATGCCATTCTTCATACCTAAACACAGTCACTGCTTTACGACACAAACACAGGTGGGACAGTGATGCTCCGTTACCAGCAAATTATTCTTTTAAATTTATTTTATTTATATATTCTTTTGTCATTTGCCATGTGGTTCCGGCATAGAATAGTCCACCCCTTTCCTCTCCCTTGGGTGTCGTAAGAGGCTACTAAAAGAACTTAATGGTCGAGGGATGGGCATCAGTGTCCCTCTTAAAACATCATCAAGGCTTAACTGCGATTGCCAACCTGCCTGCCAAGCGTGGCAACTACTAACAAAACTCCATAATAGAGGGAAGCCTATGTTCAGTAGTGTTAGTAATGAGGTCTAGCTGGCCTATTGCTATGAGTGTATTACACACTCTATCAGCTCGACCTCCACACGGTTTCTACTGGAAACCATCGTGGTTAATTCTAGTCGAATTCGTCACGATGGGCTAACAGACCTGCTTTCATCGTCACTTATTATCCTTCACTGGTGCCCCGCCGGCGTATACCGAAAACGCAGGCGGGGTAACCATTTCATTATCACCCATTAAAAAAAATATGGTATTCTTTTGTATGCAATAAACATGTATATAAAGCGGATATAATATCTGAATTGTCGTTTTAAATTTATTTATTTTAACACTCTTTTGAATTAAATTGTGGAAATAACAAGATAATTGTGTACACGACAGACAAACAAAAACAGCGAGTTAGCGGGCGTACTCATAAAGTTTGAAGAGCGCGTGAAACAACGCGACAAGCGGCTGGAGGACGCTGCAGCCGCTGAATCGGCGTTGAAGCGAGACCTTGAGCACAGAGACACGGTACGTATAGATTTGATGTTTTTAATATATGTATACATATAACCAGCTATTTCCCCGCGGTTTTGCCCACATAAATCAGTATATAAAGTAATTCTATGTGTTAGGATTTAACCTACCCGTATAGCAATTTTGCATCAAATTTGTTCAACAGTTTGTGAATGAAAAACAAACATATAATAAAAGAGTTATATATATATATATATATATATATATATATATATATATATATATATATATATATATATATATATACGAACTTTCGCGTTTTTTATCCAACTTAAAATGGTAAACAAGCTGATGGCCCACCTGATGGAAAGTGGTAACCGTTGCCCATAGACATGAGCAGTACCATGGACATAACAGAGTATACTGTTTCGCTCATGATACCCCCCATGCGTTGCCATTCCTGAGTATTAAGGTGTTATACCTCTGTACCCTGTAAATTCACGCCATATCCCACCCTTCAAACCGAAACATAACCATGCAAACACAACTGCTTCACTGTAGAAATACGAATGGGTCAGAGGTGCCCAAGCAAACGACTTTTGTACAAAGTCTCCCTCTAGTAAAAGGGTACCATGATACCCCTTATGCGTTGCCATTCCTGAAGACTAAAGTGTTATACTTCTGTTATTCATCTTTATATGTTATATTTGTCAGATCCGTCAGTATTCTACGACTATGACGATATAATAGTAGTAGAATGATATAGGATGGCGCTCTGTTGTTTTATTAGCTTACTGCAAAATAAAGTGGGGTCATCTTATTGTTAGGTTCATCTTTGACATATGGGTGCTTTCAGACTTTGATGTTCTGAAACTTACCTTTTTAGATTTAGATGTTTTGAGAGTTAGATTTTTAGACGTTATAATATTCTGAGATATTCATCTCTTATTTTTGTTTTATTTTTTTTTATACAACTTAAAATGGCAAACAAGCTGACAGCCCATCTGATGAAAAGTGACAACCGTCGCCTATAGACATGAGCAGTACTATGGACATAAAAGAGTATACTGTTTCGCCCATGATACGCGTTGCCATTCCTGAGGACTCAGATGTTATTCCTCTGTACCCAGTAAATTGTCGCCATATACCCTTCAAACCGAAACACAGCCATGCAAACACAACTGCTTCACGGTTGAAACACGAATGGAGATTTGTCAGTTCCGAGACTAACCCGTAGTAAAAAGTGATAGTTTGTAAACAAATTTGAAAGTATGATTCGCGAATTGGCTATGAGTTGATAACTGGTAGAAAACTTAGAGCGGTCGCATAAACGTCGCGTTCAGCTGTCAATCTGGTATAGGAAGCTGAAAATAATTTATTTCGCCTTTTTTCGATCTGTCGTCTTTTTTTTTATAATATTCTGTTTCATTATAGAACATTTCTTTAAAAGAATGCTAATAATTGCAATTATTAACTATATCTTTGTCATTCTTCACGCGGGCAACACCGTTTGTTACAGTTAGTTTTATATAGAAACTAACTGACCTAGTAAACGTTGTTTAGTACTCTGGGGTAGGGTAGGGTTCCGTACGTAGAAGGTACAAAAGGAACTCTTATTGTGCGGCTTTGTACGTCCGTCTGTCAGTCACAGCGCTATATCTCGACAACTTCTAATGGTATCGATTCGAAATTTGGAATATATTTTTATATATTGTTGACCCGTACATATTACAATGGAAATAATTGAAACAATGTTTTTTTTTTGTGTAGGATGTCCAAAAGAGGTAATCAAAATTGCAAAATGACGCTAATAATCCAAGCAGAGTATGAGAGGGTTTCGTTAATAAATTTTAAAACTAATTTTTATTTATTTTTATACTGCATAGTATAAAATACCCCCCAGGGGGGGGGGGGTTGCATCTTATTGCCATAGTTTATGAAGAGGGAGACTTTGTACAAGAGTCGAACGCTTGGGTACCTCTGTCCCATTCGTGTTTCTACCGTGAAGCAGTTGTGTTTGCATGGTTGTGTTTCGGTTTGAAGGGTGGGATATGGCGTGAATTTACAGGGTACAGAGGAATAACACCTGAGTCCTCAGGAATGGCAACGCATGGGGGGTATCATGGGCGAAACAGTATGTGTGTGTACTGTTATGTCCATGGTACTGCTCATGTCTATAGAGGACGGTTACCACTTTCCATCAGGTGGGCCGTCAGCTTGTTTGCCATTCTAAGTCGTATAAAAAAATAAACGAAAACTATATATAGCGATTTATATTTTAGTTACCTAAATTCAAACAGTTTATATATTAATGTGCTTGCTGTCCGCATAAATAACTTCCAGCTATCGGTATCAGCAAACACAAAGTTGCTACATCGCTTACCGGCGCCGCGATAACACTGCCATTCATTTGAAAGCCGGTACTCACATCACACTTGTTAAATTACTCTTATATTTTATACTAGATGTTCTCGCGTCTTTGCATGAGTTTCGATCGTAAATGTACGGGCTATTTACTAGCTTAATATGTACAATTACTTGGTACTAATATAAACACATATATTATACAGTTTAGGCAGAAACTATTTTTGTATTTGCTTCTTCATATGAGAAAAAGAATAAAAAGGAAAAGCAAGGAAAAGTGTTATTCTTATTTTAAAATATCCTATATAGACGATATAACAAATTTCATAAAAATCCATTCAATAGTTTTTGTATTAGTGACACAGACATACAAATAAGAAAATAAAAAACGAATTAATTTTAATATTTACTAAGTCGATAGTTTTTTTATACGACGAGAACATTAAAATTTTTTCTCAAACATGCTTGGAAATGTGAGCATTATTTTGACAATCTTCTTCGAGATAAATCAAAATTGCCGTACTAGCCAGGTACATGCGGGCAGCGGCCGGCAAAAGTTATATGAAAATCCATATCTGTCGTGTTTTGCGGCCAGATAAATTACTATGTAAACTCATATCTGTCCTGTAATTTAAAAATGGAATGACCTTTTACTTCGAAACATGGCTACCAAGGATGTAACTAATAAAAGGTTTTATTTAAATTTCGAACTGACTTGCAAATAGAATGCTGTTTACTGAAAAAAAAACAAAGGAACAATATGGCGCGTGAAAAATTATTATTGTACGTTATTAGTCATTGAATTTAAAAAGTAAAATTGGTTTTTGATTTCCGCGCATTGTTTGAGAAAAGTACTATACAAGCCTTGGCCACAACTAGGCAATGATGGACTCACGTATGTGTGCCTTGGCCGCGCCTCGGCCCACATTTGTACATTCGTCCATCAATGCCTCAGTTGCTGGCCGCTGCAGTAATGTACTATTAAACGATTCTCAACATTACGAGATTCTTAAATGGTCTGTATTTTTTTTATGTTATGCAATATCAATCGCCAATTCTTAATTGATTTTTGAAGTGAACTGATTGATAATTCAATAGAGTTCAGTACCGTATTGGTTCCATTTTAACTATTATATTGAACTATCATGTTTTTTTTTTTTGAAGACCCAAATCGTTTCATTTTATTATCGAAAAATATTTCGTATACAAAAAAATGCTTCTTTACAATTCCATTACAAATATAGATGAAATGTACGATCATTTCACGTTGACAGCATTGCGATTTATTCCATTTGTTATCGCCGGTAGAGGCCGCTCTAAACGGACGTAAGTACGTCGAATAGGTGACGTGCTGAAAAAAGGTCCGAGTAAAAAGTATTCGTAACCGGCCAGCGAGCATGTATGAATAGATTGATGAATGGTGCGCGACGCGGGAGAGGTCTGTTTGAATGTGAATGAATTGGATTTTGGTGTTCTATTGTTTCTGCCTCTGCCCCAAATGGAAGGCAGCCGTTATATATATGTATTAACGTGTTTGTTGTTATTTTTTTTTCATTAGGAGCTGTTTAGTGAAAGTGAAAGCGATGTAAATACTATACATTTTTTATGCAATTTGGTAAAATTATGCAAGTTGAATGCTTAATGCCAACACTCGCCTTCTTATCTAGTAATTTCACTGTCATATGACAACAGTCCTCTTATAGGGAGAGGGACAAACCAATATATAAGAGGAGGACTATATAATATGTGTATATATATGTATATATATATATATATATATGGGAGAAGACTGATATTAGACTATTATATATATATTGTTATGACAATGAGTCGAAATCCATTTACAAGAATTGATTGCCATGATGATGATGATGATGATGATGATTAAATTTGTACAGATGATAAAACAACTGGAGAAGACGGTAGCGGAGCGCGAGAATCGTTTATATCAGGTGACGTCACAGCTGGAGGAGATGAAGCGAGTGCAGGAAATGGTGGCCAAACTGATGAGCAAGAGTACCTCCACCACGAACAGCTAGCGGCATGTGCTGCAGGTAATTTAAAATTAAAAATGTCTATAATCTGTTTTACACTAGCTAAGGGCCTCCAATATAGGATACTACAGGTCTAATAGGTATATGATTTTTATGAATTATAGGTAATACATAATTTTTTTTTATGGGTGAAAATGGTATAGTGACCCCGCCTCTGCTAACGGGATACGCTGGCGGAGCACCAGTGAAAGGTGATAGATGAGAATGAAAACAGGCCAGTTAGCCCATCATGATGAATTCATCAGGAATTGACCATGGTAGTTTCCAGAGGTAACCGCGAGGAGGTCGACCTGGTTGGGTGTATTGCTAGCATTTCTCAGGATTCTCAGTCTCCATTACTAACAATCTTTTTCTCCCCAAAATATATAATATTAGTAAGTAGTAATAGTGGCGGTCAATCTTTAAAATGTTAGGGCAGTCACATACATACTAGTAATAGCGAAATTAAAAAAATAAGCAGTGATATGGACTTCGGACTATAACACCTAGTTCAGTGAAAAAACTTTGCAGTTATGATAGTTAAAAATTTAAGTAATGACTTATATTATTGAGTTTGTAAATTTAACAGCACAAGTACAAGTACAAGTATAACTACAAGTAGCTAGTTTCGAAAATACAGATTTCCATATTTATTTTTAATTATTTATTTAACACTTTATCGCACCAACATGTGATTGTGTGGATTTGTTGAACAATTTTCAATACGTATAGTGTAGTACAAAAGGCGGTCTTATTGCTAAGCAATCTCTTCCTGACAACCTTTGGGTAGAAGGAATTAAAGCATAAGTATGTAGGTGGCGCATTAAAAGAAATAGATTTAATATAACAAAATACAAAATTAATGCTAGCAAGGGAATGTTAGACAATATCATAAAACTACATAATAATAATAGAAATAGCATTTATATTTTAAATATCTGAACACTCTGTGGTCATCTTAAGAAACTCTAGTAAATTGGAGGTAAATACGTCTAATTGTGGATTCTGGTTTAAATCATCATTGAGTAGTATCAATGCAAAATGTATGTATATTTTGGTTTACTGCGTTTGTTGGAACTTTTTTTTCTGCAACTTACAACGGCAAACAAGCTGACGGCCCACCTGATGGAAAGTGGTAACCGTCGCCTATAGACATGAACAGTGCCATGGACATAACAGAGTATACTGTTTCGCCCATGATACCCCTTATGCGTTGCCATTCCTGAGGACTCAGGTATTATTCCTCTGTACCCTGTAAATTCACTGCCATATCCCACCTTTAAACTGAAACACAGTCATTCAAAAATAACTGCTTCACGGTAGAAACACGAATGGGACAGAGGTGCCCAAGCAAACGATTTTTGTACAAAGTGTTCTGGTAAATTCTAATGAGAATACTTTTCTTTTACAGATTTGATATGACAGCCTCAGATGCAGAGACTTCTCTGCATCGACGCTCGATGTGAAATCTTATCCAAATTATGAAACAAGTGAACTTCCGTCGAATAATAGTTTTGTACAATTATAAATATTTCTAATAACAATCATGGATTTCATACTGTTTATATAATCTTCATATTGAGTATATGAATGTGTAATGTACGCGAATGGAATATAAGTTTTTATGTTAAATGTATATTTTAATAATCCGTGACAAATAAACATGAATGATAGTGGACCTGTATTGTTTTCTTTTTATTTTTATGTGTTTTCTCTCCATGACAGTGTAAAAATAAAATATTGTTACGTCAAAATATATCTGTTATATTTTTTATTTTTAGTGTCCAAGGGGAACCGCGTGGAGGTCGACCTAACAGGGTATTGCTAGCGATGAGGCTTTAAGACCATTTTACTAACAATCCCTTATTTTCCAGTAGTTTTTGCGGGGCACCGAAACAAATATACAGACATAAAGACTTCGTCCTACAAAAAACCCACTTCATTTGTGACAAAACTAGTTATTTTAAAAACTAAACTGCTGTACCTATTTTGATACAATTTCTACCGTCCCAATCTGTAATTATATCCTTATTTACATCGGTTTGAACTGACAGAGTTATTAGGTAACATAAATTCTTTTTGAAATCTATTGAAAATATAGTTTTTACATCTAACAGTCCTATTAAGACCTCTTGTATAAATTTTTCTTAAATATCTTACAAGTAGAGAGTCGTCTATGACCGTCTAGTTACAACGTTATTATATCAGTAACACGTAATACATGGTCCATTCAGCCCGTACGCTCTACTCTAACCATTTCAAATAGCGTCTAAAAGCTTCACCGAGCTAAAGCGTGTAGCAAATGGCACACAACAAATGGTACAATCTCTCTACAATTGTTGCCTAGTTGTACTGGCGTCCAAGGGTTGTTACAATTTACAATACAGTTCAGGGAATAGTATATAATATGTATATACATGTATGTATATACATATATGTATATACATGTAGATATATATCTACAGTAAGATTTCTATAGAGCGTTTGAATAGGCGAGTAGAAACTTGATTTCATTGTATAATAAATTTAGCTCATTGATTATAATTATCATTTATATATAATACTAGCTGTTCCTCACGGCTTTATCCGTGTGAATTAGTAGATAAAGTATTCTGTGGTGAGTTGGGATATATGTTGTTCAGCCGTTTATTTATTAACCGACTTCAAAAAGAAGGTTTTTAATTCGATTGTATTTTTTTGTTATCTTAAGTTCTAACCCAATTTGAAAAATTGGGTATACTTACAGTATACCCTTTCAGATAAAAAACTGAATAACAGAACTAAAAAAACAAATAAAAACTTTCGCCATAGATATTTATCAAAATCTATTTCAGTAGTTTAATTTTTAAATCAAAACAAGTGCTTTTATCACAATTGAAGTCGGATTTTTTTTGCGGGACACGATTTTTAATAATTATTATACTCGTAAATAGATGACAAACATAGGAGATAATAAAGAAAAACTGCTATGACTTATTAAAAACAATAGAAGTCAAAACAGTAATTTTTACATTTTTTGTTTGTTTGTATTTCTGTTTTGGTATCACGCAAACACTACTGTACCAATATGGATGTGCTTTTCACATGTTATGATGTTGTTTTCAATATACCTTCTAGAAGTAATCTACTTTATGTGTCATCATCATCATCATTCCAGCCATTATCCATTCACTGCTGAATTCTACGGAGGAGGTAGGTCTATGACCTACCTCCTCCGTAGAGTGCCATAAGGAACAGTCCTGATCCACCTGCATCCATCGACTCTGCATAACACATTTGAGGTCGTCACTCCATCTAGTGGGGGGGGGGTCGTCCTACACTGCGTTTGCCTGTACGTGGTCGCCACTCAAGAATCTTTCTGTACTTGTGCGCAACAAAACAAATAATAAGGCCAATAACAGCCATCTTTGATAATTCAAAAATGAAAAAAATTACCAAGTCCAATAATATTATTTCAGTATATCTACTTAAATAACATTATTATATTTGTGTAGAGCCACTTTTGTTGGAAGCCGACGCTTATTGTTTCTCAGAAATGTGATAAAAGTAAAAAAGTTAAAAATTAATTCGTACAAAATTGTTTTTGAGACATTTGTTTGCTGAATGTGTAAGTGAGATGGTTCCGTACCTAATGTTGGAATGCGGCCTTGAACTTTGTGAAGTTGCCATATTCAGCTCCCGGAGTAGACGTCTCGCTAGAATAAGCACGGTACGGATAGCAAAATAAAATATAGTGAATGAAACATGTACACTAATAAATAACTAATATAACAATAACTACATTTTTTCTTTCTTTCTACATTTAACTAGATAAAAACTATAATACCATGTGGTCCCGGCATAGAATATACCACTTCTTCCTTTCCCGTGGGTGTCGTAAGAGGCGACTAAGGGAATTTAATTTTCGAGTGATGGGTAGCAGCGTCCCTCTTAAAACATCACCAGAAGCCTAACTGCGGTTGCCGACTTGTCTGCCAACCGTGGCAATTACTGGCAAAACCTCTTTTATGGGGAAAACCTATATTTAAAATGATGAAAATGGTAACTTTGCTTGTGAAGATGAAAGTAGATCAGTTAGCCTGTCGTGACGATTTCCACAAGATTTAATTACGACCGTTTCCAGAGGGACGTGTGGAAGCCGACCTGATAGAGAATATTGCTAGCTAGTGGACTATTAGATCTTCTATACTGACAATCCCTATTTCGCCAGTTAAATATGTTGCATCTTTTTTTTTTATTTATTATCACAAAAATACAGAATTACAGAAATCTAAAGGGTATTTGAAAAGTATTTGATATTTTTGTTGTGAGATATTTATTAAACAACTATCGTGTTATGTTAGTATTTATGATTGTTGGCACTTAGTGGACCTTTGTACATTTACTTATATTGGGACCGATTCTGAAGTGCCACCTTTCAAAACTTATTCCTTAACCTAAAATATTAATTTGAGAACTTCATAAGATTAATGTTTTATGGACCATCATAAACTGAAATTATTATATAATTTTACTTAAATCTAATAGAAAATTAGTCCATATTGACTCTTACAATACGATTTCAGGGTAATATCAAATTAAATTTTATATTTAAGAGATAGGTATTGAGGTTGGATATCATATGTTGCATGTGATATCCAACCAAAACTAAATATAGTAAAACATTGCGCAAAATTTCAAGCGGTTAAATTGTATAATAAATTACCCAATGAATTAAAAATTATTGAAGATTGGAGAATTTTGAAAATAAAACTTTATACCCTTTTGTTGGAAAGGTGCATCTACTCAATTGATGAATTTTAAAATACTCTTTTAATATTTTGTGCCTTACTAATGACATTTATAAATTAATTGTAATGTAATTTTTGACAATTATTATTGGTTATTTTGTTGCTTCATATTTTTTTTGTTTTGTTACATTTTATGATATCTTCTTGTTACTAATAAAAACATTCAACGCAATGTAGTATTATAGCGAATAAAATTGAATTGAATTGCATCTTAGGATCGACCCCATTGTGAGAAAAAACACTTCACAATTTCGTACAATTGTTCGAAATTCTTCATCTTGGAAAATGTTTAAACGGCGAAAGTGGTTAGATAATTTATTATCACAATTGTGTCGTTCGTGTGAAAATCGTTTTTCCAATAATATCAATAACACTAAATGTTATCAGCAAGGTTTTTCCTCAATCTTTTTCCAACCGTACCACCCCATTCTTAGTGACAGGTGTTCACACTAGTCTCACATCTCATTCGGCGGGTCAAAGTCGGTTATTCCTGTCCGTACGTCACGGACGCGGGTCTCGGGCATTACGTCACCGGCCCTGGACGAAGGGGGTCGTCATTTCTGCTTAATACATCACTTTTCACAAAAGGTTTCAATGACACGACGAGAATAGGTGTACCTTGTTCACAAATGCGAGGCGAAATGGAAATATAACACTTATATTTATCGCTTCATAACTAATTCTGTTATAGTTCTATTAAAGCTTCAACTTTTGACCTTGGCGTCTGTATTTCTGGCGAAGGCATTTTTAGAGAAATTTTATAATTGTAGTACGTATATACGTAATGTAAACAATTTATTATTTTTTTCCTTAGAAATAAAAGCGACATGAAGGCGAAAAAAATTAACAACCGAAATTTTATTTCATTAATCCATAACATTACAGACGTTTAGTTATAAGTAGCTAATAATAACATTATAGCTAGGCATCGGTAATTTGAATACCGATCCGATATCTATATATCGAGATCCCCTGGACATTGATGATTCACTAGAGGGGCACGTTGTACAAAAGAGGAATAACATCTGAGTCCTTAGGAATGACAACGCATGGGGGGTATCATGGGCGAAACAGTATACTTTGTTATGTCCATGGTACTGCTCATGTCAGCCGTCAGCTTGTTTGCCATTCTAAGTTGCATAAAAAAACATTGAAGGCGGATAAAAGGTCATCACCCATAAAAAAGTCTTATCCAATATAAATTTTAACTTATTCGGAAATAGATATCTGACCGATATGGGCGATATCGGGTCGAACAGGTTGGCATCGTTATTGGACCAGTTTGGACCATATTGTAACTAAAATGTACATATATTGCTATATGTTTTTTTTTATTGGTAAAAAATGGAATAGTAACGGGATACGCTGGCGGGGCACCAGTGAAGGGTGATCGATGAGAATAAAAACAGGCCAGTTAGCCCATCATGATGAATTCATCAGGAATTAATCATGATAGTTTCCAGGGGGAACCGCGAGGAGGTCGACCTGGTTGGGTATATTGCTAGCAATGGGATACTCAATCTCCATTACTAACAATCCCTTTCCCGCCTATTGCTATATGTTACTTATCTCCTAATTATAGTCATATATGGATTTAGTAAAAACAACTCATTGCACTGTTCTGGATTTAATTATAGGTTTTACATATATTTTTCACGCAACTTCGTACCCTGGATTTTGAAGTAAGTGACCAATTCTAGATGGAGTATCAAAGTAAAACATACACTACACATTAAGTTAGTCCTTCAAGGACGTAACTGTGAAAATCGCTTTAAATTTGATATAGACAGAGAGACACAGAATCAAAAAAGTTTTGACTTCTATTGATCTTATTAAGACTCCTCATATAAATTCTTTCTTCATTATCTCCCATGTACAGACTACATCT